CCAGCAGCACAGACACTGAGAGAAACAATTAATAAATGGGACCTCCTGAAACTGAAAAGCTTCTGTAAAGCAAAGGACACAGTCAACAAAACAAAACGACAGCCTACAGAATGGAAAAGATCTTCACTAACCTTACATCAGAAGAGGTCTGATCTCCAAAATATACAAAGAACTCAAGAAATTGGTCATCAAAAGATCACATAATCTAATAAAAAAAAATGGAGGGCCGGGCAGTGGTGGCGCACACCTTTAATCCCAGCACTCGGGAGGCAGAGGCAGGCGGATCTCTGTGAGTTCAAGGCCAGCCTGGTCTACAAGAGCTAGTTCCAGGACAGGAACCAAAAAGCTACGGAAAAACCCTGTCTCGAAAAATCAAAAAAATAAAAAAATAAATAAAAAATTGGAGTACAGACCTAAACAGAGAACTCTCAACAGAGGAATCTAAAATGGCTAAAAGACACTTAAGGAAATGTTCAACATCCTTAGTCATCAGAGAAATGCAAATCAAAACAACTCTGAGATTCCATCTTGCACCTGTAAGAATGGCCAAGATCGGGCTGGAGAGATGGCTCAGAGGTTAAGAGCATTGCCTGCTCTTCCAAAGGTCCTAAGTTCAATTCCCAGCAACCACATGGTGGCTCACAACCATATGTAATGGGGTCTGGTGCCCTCTTCTGGCCTGCAGGGATACACACAGACAGAATATTGTATACATAATAATAATAATAAAAAAGAATGGCCAAGATCAAAAACACTGATGACAACTTATGCTGGAGAGGTTGTGGGGAAAGGGGAACACTTCTGCATTGCTGGTGGGAATGCAAGCTGGTACAACCCCTTTGGATGTCAGTGTGGCGATTTCTCAGAAAATTAGAAAACAACCTTCCTCAAGACCCAGCAATACCACTTTTGGGTATATATCCAAAGGATGCTCAATCGTGCCACAAGGACATGTGCTCAATTATGTTCATAGCAGCATTGTCTGTCATAGCTAGAACCTGGAAACAACCTAAATGCCCCTCGATCAAAGAATGGATAAGAAAAATGTGGTACATTTAGACAATGGAGTTCTACACAGCAGAAAAAATAACAACAGCTTGAATTTTGCAGGAAAATGGATAGAGCTAGAAAACATCATTTTGAGTGAGGTGACCCAGACACAGAAAGACAATTATCACATGTGCTCAACTCATAGGTGGTTTTTAAACATAAAGCAAAGAAAGCCAGCCTACAAACCACAATCCCAGAGAATTTACACAACTAAGAGAGACTTACCTAGATCTAATCTACATGGGAAGTAGAAAGTAGAAACAGACAAGATCTCCTGAGTAAACTGGGAGCATGGGGACCTTGGGGGAGGATTGAAGAGGGGAGGGTAGAGGCAGGGAGGGGAGCAGAGAAAAATGCAGAGCTCAATAAATGTCAATAAAAAAGTGGTAAGTATCAGGTGGGTTTGGAGGGTCACACTTATTAACCCTTAGTTCTGGAGAGGCGGAGGCTGGATAATCACACATTTGAGGTCACCAGGGCGATATGTCAAAACTCTGTCTTAAAACCCAAAAACAGGGCTGGAGAAATGGCTGAGAGGTTAAGAGCACTGGCTGCTCTTCCAGAGGTCCTGAGTTCAATTCCCAGCAACCACATGGTGGCTCACAACCATCTGCACTGACATCTGGCGCCCTCCTCTGGCATGCGGGCAGAGGCAGAATGTTGTATACATAATAAATAAATCTTTAAAAAAAAAATCCCCAAAACAAAGCCAACCCTGGCAGTACAGCTAGTACTGAGTAGCAGTAGCTACTCAGCTACTCAGTGAGGCAGGAGGATTAAACATTCAAGGCTTTCCTGGGCTAAGTCTAAGGCTAGCCCAGGCAAATCAATGAATGAGAACTTGCCTCAGAATAAGTGAAAAGCAGGGTAGGGCTGCAGGACCCGGGTGGAAGCCCTGGGCCTGTGACCAGTGGGCGGGTGTCAGTTCATTTTTCTTGATACAAGATCTCACTGTGTGACTTTGGCTAGCCTGGAATTCACTATGTAGACCAGGCTGGCCTCAAATTCAGAGTTCCGCCTCTACGACCCACGTGCTGGGAGTAAAGGCACTGGACATACATGATGCTTTTCTTGTTTTTGGTTTTTGTTCATTTTACTCTTTTTTTTTTTTTTTGGAGAGTATCTCAGTAGACTAACCAGTTTGATGGGGTATGCTGGCTGACCTACAAGCTCCAGTGGTCCTTGCCTGGGTGCCGGGCCTTGAACTCTGGTCCTCATGCTTGCATGCCAAGCACTTTACCTGTTGTGCCACCCCCCAGGTCTTATCTGGTCAATGTTTGTTAGTATTCATATTAACCATGTGAACGGCTTGGATCGTTAACTTCCATTGGTATTGTTGGGTTTGTTTGATTTGAGAAGGTATCTCATGAAGCCCAGAAAGGCCTCCAACTCCTTAGGAGCCAAGGCTGGCCTTGTACAGATCCTCCAGTCCCAGGCTCTAAAAACTGTTCTGTCACACACCGCACCTGGCTGACGTTAAGGCGACTATTGTGTCACTGTCCTAGTTGACTTAGAGAACCTGCTACACCAGGTTTGGACTCCTTTTGACCTGGCCATTTGGGTCCCTGGCAGGTGGACCTAGTGCCGCTGCCTGCCCTCAGCAGGAAGGAAGGGCGGATGGCCCGGCCCCTGGGAGTGGTCAGTCAGCTTCCGGAAGTCCCCAGCCAGCTGTGGGTACTGGCTTGTCGTCCCCTCCCACCCCACGCCACTGGGTAGGAGGATCCGGGTCCCCAGGGGCGCAGAACCCTGAGTCGCTGCTGTCCCCCCAGGGTCTCATCGTGGGCACAGCAGCAATGGCCTGGGAGTCCTTTGCTCTTCGAAGGAAAAACGTAAATAAATAGAAGACAGCGCAGGGCTCCCAGGGAACCCGGACTGGGGCGGGCCCGCGGGGCGAGAAGAAACTGAGCGAGGAAGGAAACGGGTTTGGGCCTCGGAGAAATCTGGCAGGCAGGCTGGCCTGTGATTAAAAAGAGGAAGAACCACAAGTCCCCATTTAACTCAGCAGGGCTGCAGTCGGCTGCGAGAGGGAAAGTGCTTGCGGCTGGCAGATTGCAGCCACCATTTGGCAAAGGCTGCCAGTACCTGAAGATGTACGCGCGCCTCCTGGCCACACCGAGGCTGCAGTTACCGGGCATTCGCCCCAGGTGTTATAAGGAGTGTGTTCCGGGCCAATCAGGCTAGACTTCACCTAAGCGCCCTCCTTCCTCCTCAGATGCTGCGTCCTTCAGTGGGACACTTCCGATCGGGGACACCAATCTGTAGCAGAACGCAGCTGGGCCTTCTCTTCCTCAAAGTTCTTCATGGCTCACCGGTGCCCTCATAAAACAAGCAAACAAGCAAACAAAACTCCTCCCCAAAGCGGACTCCGCACCAAGACCTCAAGACACCACGTGTAAGCCAGCGTGTTCCTTCTTGTGTGGGTGGGGCCATTTCCACTTTCTACCAAGGCACCTCAGGGACTTTGCATTGACCGGTTCTTTGGCGTGGAATGCCTTGCCTTCAAACTTCATCATGCCCAGACTCTTCTATCCTGAGGGAGATCTCAGCTTAAATATTACTCAACTATTTCTCTCCCCGAGTTCAAAGACAGCCATCCCATATCCACAAGAGGGCTGTCACCCGTGCTCTTTCCTAAGCAGCATGCCGCCTCCGCGAGGACACCAATTGGTGTCCATAAACACCTTACACAGTGCCCATCACATAGTGGGTACCGCCTTCGCACGTTTTTGTGGCTTTTCCCAAACCATTCTGCCCCCCGCCCCTACCCCCTACTCGCTGCCCTCCGACTGTCGTGGAAATCCCCACCTGTGGGGGAGTCCCTTCCTGGGGCTCCAACGGCAGGCCTGGGGACTGAAGCCCGGTTAAGGTTAAACTGCTCCAATACGGTAACTCAGTCCTTCCAGTCCCCGAGTGGGTTGGGGACACGTGTTATTTCCATTTCATAGATGAAGAAACCGAGCGGCAGAGGCCAAGCTCTTGGTCCCAGGCATCAAGGGGGAGGTAGTGGGCTCTAGGGAGCCAGTGGCTCGTGGGAGCCTGTCGTCTGGGAAGGCTTGCAGTGGCCCCTCCAAACTGGGGGCGTGGGCGGTCTGTTTCCTGTTGGGGGAGGGGAAGGGGACAGGCATTCCTCTTGAGCCTCCCTCCCTAGTGTCGCGGGGAAGACTGGCGTGCAGTGACTCCACTTCAGAACAGGGGCACCCCACTGTTAGCCGCACCCCCATGAGGAGATAGAGAAAAGGTAAAGGGCTGAGGGGCGCGCAGACGTGGAAACCCAAAGGGCTCCGCTGCCTGGGGTGAGGAGGAGTTCTTAGAGAAAGCTGCATCAAGTTAAAGAGCGGTCGGGCGGCCAGGTAGAAAATAGCCTACTCGGCCCGTTCCGGGACTAGGCGGACCTTAGTCGGGGAGCGGAACCCGAAGCGATGGAGCGGCTGAGGCAGGTCGGCTCCGAGCCGCCGATACTGGGCCCAGTGCTGGGCTGGGCCCCCTCCTCTGGAGGTGATGAAAGCCGCGGTCGCAGTTGTTAGACGCGGCCGGGCTAACACAGATAACGCCAGGCTTGAGGCGTCCGCAGGGGCGCGCCCCCACGAGGTCCAGAAGGTCGGGCGGCCCCGCCCCACCGTGCGCCAGCCCCGCTCACCCCCTCCAGGGGCCCCGCCCCGCTGAGGTACGCGGCGATTGGCTGGCGCGAGAGGGGCGGGGTCAAGCACACTCCTCCTCTTGGCTTTTCCCTTTCCTTTAGGGGGCGCGACGCGACTTGGGGGTGGGGAGCGCGCCCTTGGGGGAGGGAACCGGAGGCGACTGCTCGGGAGGGCGGGGCCGGGATAGGCTCCGCCTCCGGAGTAGCGGCTGGCTGTAGGAGGGGCGTGGTTCGTCATGGCTCCGCCCACAAGCCGCCCTCCGCTGCCGCGCGCTGCTCGCGACCGGTTCCTCTTTACATAACGGCGCGGGGCGGCATGGGCTCGGGCTGTCGTCTCCTCCCAGCCGCCCGCCCGCCTAGACTGTCACGGGCCACGGGGTCCACAGGGGCGACAGCAGCAGCGTCCCGGGGGCGGCCCGGGGCCGCGTCCCTCCGCTGCTGTCAGGCGCTGGCGGCGGAAATGAGGCGCTGGCCGTTTTCCGAGCCGGGGTTTCCTGCCTGAGCGCCGAGAGGCCGTGCGACGCCATGGGCCGGCCGGGCCACGACCCGCAGCTTGCGCGGTAAGCGCGGCCCGCCGAGCGCGTTGGAGGAACCGGGCGGTTGCTCGCATCCCGCTTCTGTTTTCTGGCGTTTCCTCATTCTGTTTCTCTTCCCCAATCCCAGACCGCAGTGATGTGGGCGCGGAGGTCAGTGCTTGCAGCTGGGGCCTCCGGAGAGGGGTCTGGCGGGGCGCCGCGGGAGGAACCGAGAGCCGCCCCGGGGACACAGCGTGCTTGGTCCCTGCCGGGGGGGTGGGGTGGGGTGGACACGTGTGTCACTGACCTGACAGGAGGAGCAAAAACGGCCCTGGTGATCTACAGGGGTGGCATACGGATGCCTCAAGGCGAAAGCAGTCAGAGGTCGTGGCGGGGCAGGCTCATGACAGGCCAGGGCCCACTGGGGAAGTTGCAAGGGTTTTACATGCTTAGGACATTTTGTGAGCCTTCTCCCACAGGCCCCTCTGGGAGGGGCCTCCGACAGGGCCGAGGGGTGAATACATTCTGGAACTTGTGCAGTCCCTGTGAGCCACGGGGGCGACCAGCTGGGAAGGGGCTGGCCCGAAGCAGCAGCAGCTGTGGTCTGGGGCCCTCAAGGGCTGGGCAGTGGCAGGGGAAGAAACAGAGGGTCCTAGAAAGCAGAACTTCTTCCTCCTCTGCTTTGTAAGCTACAGCCTCTGTTTCCCCGTTAAGTGAGTAAGAAGAGATTTGCGGTGCAGTTTTAATGAGGACTTGGTGTGTGGAAGGCACCTGCGCCTGGCCTGACAGGAGAAGATCTCATTTACAGGCTGTTTCACACTGCCCTGTTTTATGGACCCCTGCTGTGGGACCTTCCTTAACTCTCCTGAGCACTGGCTGCTCTGGGGTTTCCTAAATCTTTGGGCAGGGAATTCTGAAGGACCTGGGCAGAGTCAGATGACAGCCCCTTCCTGTTCAGGTTTCTTCAGTTGACACCTACTTGTGATGACCACCAGTGCACAGAATGGCTCGAGTCATGACAAGGGTGTTATCTGTTTTGTTGAGGTCATTTCTGCTCCTGTTCCTTCCTGACTCTGTGGCACCCAAGTCTGTCACCCAGTGCCTGGTCTTTCCTGTGCAAGAGACAAGTAAGGTGCATTGAGCAGCTGGACTGTGCAGTCAGCTTATGTACCTCAGGATATCTTGTCCAGCTGGGCCATACCCAGGTTTCTTCCTCCTCTGGGATGGAGTTGGAGGTACTTTGGTACCCTTTCTGGCTTCCGGAGTGTGCCTCTCTAGCATGAGTGATTGATAGAGAACTCTGGTGACCTCGCAGGGAACTAACTGCCTCCAGCCTGGACTTAAATGCTTTGTAGGGCAGGCCTTTGGGGTCTAGCCTACCTCTGAGGCTAGCTAGCTTCTGAATCTCCCATTCTGTGACTCTTTGGGTGGTCACTTAACCTCTCTGAGGCAATGAAGTCATCAGGAGTGGGAAGGGTTTTAACTGCTGTGGAGTCTGGCACACACAGAGATGGAGCAGATGGTATTGTTGGAATGAGAGGCCTTTCTTTGGAGCAGCACACGTGAAGAGACTCAGGCCTTAGGCAAGGTACCCCTTGAGACCTGCCCACTGTGGACCAAGTCTCTCCCTCCCTAGGGTGATTGTGTGCCATGTAGGAGCCTTTCAAGGGGAAGGCATTTGAACTAGGTTGGCTGTAGTCATGCTGGCTCTGAGGTATTGGGCTTGTTTTACCATCTCTGAGCTCTGAAGAGGGGGTGCTGAAGGATAGAGTTGTTCTGAAATCGGCATGAGGTTAGTGCTCAATACGTTCAAGCTACTGCTATTAATTCGGGGATAGGGTGGCTGGCACTTAATTGCCAGGCTTCCTGGGAAAACGGTCCCTAGGGCCCCTGGTGTTGAGCATCTCTGGTTGGGCGGGGCAGGGCAGGAAGCAGCTTCCATCTGGAGTGTCTGGAGGGGCTGCTTGCTCCTGCCAGGCCTGTTTCCAGCCACCACCCTCCCCAAGGAAACTGAGGCTGGCAGGCTGCCTAGAGGAAATGACTCAGTGGGGGTCACTGGCTGAGTCATGCCTAATTGGACCCAGGAGTCTGCACCCCAGCTCCCAACTTCCGGGGGCTTGTGGTCCCTCAGGGACTGGGTAGGTCTCAGGCCTGGCTGCATGTCCTTGGCCACTGTTCAGTACCACCTGCTTGAGCCCCACGATTTAGACAACCAGTATCCCTTGGTCAGTATTTTGGGGTCCCACTGACCACCACTAGGCTGTCTAGCCCAGTGTCCCTCTTCTCACTGGGACAAGAAACAGGTCCCTAAGGGACCTGATGGCCTGCCTGCCCCACCCTGGCCAGCCGGAAACTCAGCAGCTGAGCAGATGGCTGAAAGATTTTTTCCTCCCACACAACCCTGTCAAGGGTCAGCAGGGGGGCCAGTTCTCGGTCTTCCTTGTGAGCCAGGCCTGGAGCCCCTTGGGGCCTGTCCGGATGTGCCCCCCAGCCGCTGTGGGGAACAGGGGGTACAGCTTGGTCCCCAGGGAAGCCTGGAGGAAGGAAGTGTGTGCCCTGCTTGTGGGGCTGACTCACGGCAGCTGATTGGGGGTGGGGCTAGACTTTGGGGTCAGGGCTCAGTGTGGCCTCTTGATGTAGGAGGTAGACCTACCTTTCAGACCCCCCACTGGTGGCATCTCCATAGAGTCCTAAGGACTCATGTGGGTGGGAAGGGGTACACAAGGGCCAGAGGCTGTCAGTGCATTCTCCTTAAAGTCCTAGACAGTTCAGGGGAGGCTCTCTCTGATAGCAGGGTACATCTTTTGCCACCACCTCTGCCACTGCCCTCTCTGAGGTTGGTGAAGGAAGCCTTGTCTGGTAAAGAGAGGTACACTTCTCTTAGGGGCTAGTCCCTTGCTCTCCCCACCTCTTGGAGCCTACTTGGGGTAGTGGCTGTCTGGAGTGTCAAGTTGCCAGGGGCGGGGTGCAAATGGGAGTTAGGGTATGTGCACTGGGTCTTTTCAGCTCTGCAGCATAGAGTCAGTTTGGAGACCTCCTTGGAGGAGGCCACCTTTAGAGGGTGGTATGGGGCTTCCTGTCCCAGCATCTAAGAGTGGGGCAGTCACAACTCTTGGGTACACACACACACACACACACACACACACACTGAGCAGCTCTCCCTGCCCTGGCAGGTGGAGTGCTCCAGGTATCCTCTGCACCTGTGAGATGGGAGTGGTGGCCAAGCTGAGAGGCTGCTGAGCCATCTTTTCAGTCATGGGCTGGGTGGTCCCAGAGTCCCTTCCAGCAACCTTCCATCTCGCTGACTGGACAGGCCCTCTGTATCCTTGGGGTGGTTGTGCCTGAGCAGGAGCACCAGCCTGGCTGCAGCTCCTATGGATCAGCACTGCCTGGCTGGGCTGCCTGTGGCTGTCTAGGATCAATGAGGGTGTTGAGATGCCACCTTGCTGACTGCAGGGAGCTAGCTGCCCTCTTGTTCGCCATGGAAACTGGGGATGGGGGAACTATCTCCATAGGACACAGCTCTTCTCGTCACTGTGGCTGAGTCCAGGTGGAGGCTGTATCTTCTCTGTGGAGAAGAGCAGGAGAGGAGAGCCGTACTTACAGAGCCCATCATCCTGAGGCTGAGCTCTGCTCCTCCCTTCTCCCAGCTTCTCCATCCTGTCCCAGGGTTGTCACAGTTGAGCAGCTGTGCTTCATCTCTTAGCACATGGAAAGTGTTCAGTTAGTCACTGGAAGGGACCATCTTCCTGCTGCCTTGCCCCCCTGCCATCTAGCCTGGAGTCACCTTGGCCTGGGACAGCCTGTGTCCCACAGTCATGCTACCCATGCTGCCTGACCCAGAACTGGGTTCCTCCTGAGGCTTGGGCTTTGCAAGTGGGTGGCCTGACTCACCTCCACTGCTCTTCTCAGTGTCAGGGACAAGCAACAGTTATTTTCTCCACCCTGTGCCCACCTACCACAGTTTTTAGAGTACCACTGGCAGGTACCTGTTAACATCTGCCTTCCTGTCCTGCTGCCTCCGGGTAGGATGGGGTGGAGGTAGCCCCAAGGGCTGTGGGAGTAGAGCCCCAGGAGGTGCTCTTCTCCCCCCAGGGGTGTTCTCAGTGTCTCCTGTTGGAGTTGGGGTAGACAGGATGTGACCTGAGACTGGAGCACCAGCCTGCCTTGCTCAATTGCAGAGGCACCTGGGGCATTTGTTCTGAGTGGGCCATGGTCGTGGCAGGAGCACCTTAGCCTAGTAGAGATGGATGGTAAACAGTATACAGTATTCCTGGCTCCAGCCTGTGCTTGTGAGCAGGCCGGATGGGTCTATCCCCTCTAGATGATTGTGGGACCTGGAGCAAGCCCACCTCCAGTGCCTTAACCTGGGCCTAAGGACAGGACACCCAGCTAATGAAGATCCAGGGAGCCTAGAGTAGAGCCATACATTTTAATACAAGTGGGTATACTTTCTTTGTACACAGTTGGTAGGTTTGTGTAGTGATATAGATATGAATAATTTGCATTGGTATGGATTTTGCTTTATTAATACAAATTTAAGGTCAATTATGTTATATGTATATGTATTTCTGATCTTGATTAAGGTATTGTATTGTGTAGTTCATTTAAAAATGTAATGTATAATTAGGAAATATAGGTTGTTAATGGATAATCATCAATAATAGTCAAGCTTATAGTCATGTTAGTTAGATTTTCTAGTTAGATATATTTCAGTTAGATAGGCATTCTTCATATCTTTCAAAGACTACAGAATATGGCATTTAAAATATTTTAATAACTTAGGGTTTTTTATGACAATGAGACATGTCTGCTCCTGGCAGCACCAGTCTACTTCAAGAGGAAGATGGGCATCGAAGAGGCTCCTTATGGAGTTGGTTAGCCATTTGGGCAAGAAACTGCTCTTGCCTGGACTGTTGCATAAACTGGACACAAAGAACCCACAGAGAGAGGACTGCTGAACTTGCCTAAAGGTGAGATGATCCTTCAGGGTTCCTGATTCATGAAAGAGTCTGCGAGACATTCTACAGGACACACAAAAAAGTGACTAAACTGTCTTTAAATTTTCCTGCTTCATGGAAAAGTCTGCTGGATACTATGGGTCCTTAAGGCTGAAGATGGATACCCCAACGGTACAGAAAAACTTTGGGTGACTGTCCAGGCAGTGAGATGTCTCTGTCATTTCTAGAGTTTTGGAAATTGTTTACTTCGATTCCCCGATGGGGAGCCAAAAAAAAAGAAAAAGAAAAAGAAAAAAGAAAGGAAATTGTTTACTTCTTGTTTACTTAGGTAATATTATATCCTTCTGGAGTCTTTGATGGAGTTGAAGAATAGTTAGATAGTTATAGTTTTCCTTTGTTATGATAAAAGATAAAGTAGATATAAATATTGTGACTGTAATTCTTGCTTGATAACTGTTTTGTTATATGTAATTTTACTATGGTAAAGTGAAAGCCTTTCTTTTTGTTTAAAATTTTTTTTTTCATTTTTTTACTGGGAATCATCATCGATCTTTCTTTTTGTTTAAACAGAAAAGGGAAAATGGTGTAGGAGGTCCTTCTGTATCTGTGTTGCTTTCATTGGTTATTAAAGAAACTGCCTTGGCCTATTTGATAGGGAGGAACTCAGGTAGGCGGGGAAGACAGAACAGAATGCTGGGAAGAAGAACAGAGTCAGGCAGACGCCATGGTTCTCCTGCCCAAGATGGACGCTGGTTAGACTCATGCCAGTAAGCCACAGTCAAGTGGCGATACACGTTAATGGAGATAGGTTAAACTAATATGTGAGAGTTAGCCAATAAGAGGCTAGAAATAATGGGCCAGGCAGTAATTTAATTAATACAATTTCTGTGTGGTTATTTTTGGGGCTAAGCTAGCTGGGCGGCAGGACACAGCCAGCCTGCTCCTCCTTCTACAGGGTAGTGGCAGGGCTGCTGGTCACTTTCCACTTGAGCAGAGCTGAAACAGTCCTTTACCATTTCTACTCCAGGGGACAAGGGAAGCACGTTAGTTCTTGGGGCGCATTTGGGCTCTTTGGAGTTTCTTCTGTGAGTGCTGTACTGGTCATCCTGTGGTTTCACTCCTGCACCCTAGGGATTCTGTGATGCCTCGAGTTTATCTTTGACCACCAAAGTGGTCAGAGCAGTGCTTAAGGGTGTTGGGTGCATAGCCAGTGTCACCTTTGTGAGGGGGCATTGGAGTGAGCGTACAGCTGGACCTGGCTTGCAAGAAGTGTAGAAGGTACTGCCAGGGTTTGGCTCTGTAGTTGTGCTTCTAGGCCCTGATATACACAGAGTGAATAGGCACAAGTTCCAGATGAAGGGACAGGTATGGACAGAGACTTGGGTACCCAAAAGGTAGGCTAGGCAATATGATGGCTAGTGGGTGATGCTGGTCACTAGGCATCTGTGTACCTGTGTTTATCCTTAGACTGGAGTGTAGCTCAGTTGGTAGTGCCACTTTACATAGCGTGTGGGTAGCCTGGGTTCCATCCCTAGGACCACAGAAACTTAGTATATTCTTGTAAACCCAGTTCTCAGAAGGTAGAGGCAGGAGGAGGCCAGCCTGAGCTACGTGAGGCCATAAAGAATTCTTTATTCATGCCAGGCCTGCAGAAGGATGATATTCACAAATCCAGTTTGGGCTGCGTACTTGGATTTAAGTTTTTGTGTGTTTCATCAAATCCCTGCTGTGGTAGGAAGTAGAGGAAAGCAGGTGTGCCCTGGTCCCAGGGCCATAGTCTGGATGGCCACTGACAAATCCCTATTGCTGAGGACAGATTCAAGATTTGGTACTATTCCTCTTGTGGTGTTATGAAAACAGACAGGCCTAGGGAATTGATGCAAGACTGCAGCCCAGTGGCCCTTGCAGTCTGTGGATGGGGCCAGAGCTATGATGTGTGCACTCAGCTTGTGGGTCATCCGGGCTATGAAGGCTGCGACTGTCTTTCCTGGTGTGCGAGGGGAGGGGGGATAGCTCTGATCAAGGCTCGGATCCCCCAGGCAAAAGGTGCTCCCTATGAGGAGGTGGGCAGAGTGAGATGGGCTTGGTCAGATGTGGTCTATTTCTTTCTTCCTCCTGGCTTTTACTGCGTACTATGTGCAAAGCACCTACTGTGTGCTAAGAACCTTATGGCATGGCATGCAAAGTGCTGACAGAGTGCAGAGTGTACCCCAGTGAGTGCACAGGCCTCTGCACTGGAACTGAAGTATCCTGTTAGGTGCTGGAATGGGCTGGCCACCCTTACTTGTCTGTTCTGGGTCTTGCAGTACACAGGCCATAGCAGTAGGGACAGTAGAAAGAGCCCCATTTCTGGGCCTAGCTGTTCCCCTCTAGTCCTGGCAAACATTATTTATTTGTTTATTTTGGTTTTTGGAGACTTTTTTTTTTCTGTTTTTTTTTTTGAGACAGTGTTTCTCAGTGAAACAGTTCAGTCCTGGCTGTCCTGGAACTTACTCTGTAGACCAGGCTGGCCTTGAACGCACAGAGATCCGCCTGCCTCTGCCTCCCAAATGCTGAGATTAAAGGTGTGCGCCACCACCGCCCGGCTGCAAACATTTTTAAAAATGATTTACTAATTTTATTTTATACACATTGGTGTTTTGCCTGCATTTATGTCTGTATGCGGGTGTCACATCACTTTGAGCTGATCACAGACAGTTGTGAGCTGCCATGTAGGTGCTGGGAATTGAAGCCAGGTCCTCTGGAAGAGTAGGCAGTGCTCTTTCTGCTAGGCCATCTCTCCAGCTTCCTAACAAACATTTAATGAGCTTGAAATTGGGGTTCAGAGAGATGCAGTCTGGTGTCAGTGGCCACACAGCCAGTGCCTGTTCCTCTTTGCATTGAGCTCTGGGGAAACAGGTTGGTTTGTTGTTTGGAGATTGGTCTAATGAAACCCAGGATGGCCTGGAGTTCACTGTGTAGCGAAGGATAATCTTGAACTTTTTTTGTTGTTGTTGTTGCTTTGTTTTGTTTTGTTTTGTTTTTTTGAGACAGGGTTTCTCTGGAGCTTTGGAGCCTGTCCTGGAACTAGCTCCGTAGACCAGGCTGGTCTCGAATTCACAGAGATCCGCCTGCCTCTGCCTCCCAAGTGCTGGGATTAAAGGCGTGCGCCACCACCGCCGGGCCGATCTTGAACTCTTGATCTTCCCTGGCTGGGATTACAGGCACATGCCACCACACCAGCTAAGGTTTAAATATCTTGTCTGTTCCCTGGTATATTCCTGGGGCCAACTGCAGTGCCAGGTACACAGTAGGCCCTCAGTATATTGTGTGGAATGACTGAGGGGGTGATGAATGATGGAGGTGAGTCTTGTAAACAGGTCCTTGCACCTCGCCTATGACAGGCAAGCTAGGTGTTCACTCAGGCTGTGCTTCAGGGATGTGCCTGTGCCTGGCTCCTCCATGCTGATCTTGTCCAAGGACAGTACAGTGGTGATCCACTTGGACATCTTGATTGTCTTGCACCTGTGTCTGCCTGAATCCTGCATCGGGCCTAGAGAAGCCTACATCACTGTGAGTCTGGCCAGTACAGGCTGCATTTCATCTTTAGTGTGGCTGTTACCATGCTTGCTGCAGCATTTAAATGAGGACAGCAGCCAACCACACTGAACTTTCCAGATTCTAGGCCATTCTTAACTGAGTCTTTGTAATACTCTGAGGATGACTTCCCCTTTGACAGGGGAAGCTGAGGTGGAGAATCACTTGAGGTCACTCAGGATCAGATATAACTAGTAAAAGATGGGACTGGATTTTAGATGCAAGATTGAATCCATGTTCCCAACCGTTCTTTCTAGAGATGGGTAGTAATCAGCTAACTCAGTTACTTATCTGGACTTCAAAACTGCCCCCACAGTCTGCTATATCAGGATAGATCCGCTGGCTAGCCTTTCTTGACCACCCTTAAATGTGTTACTGTGCCTGTAAAAACTAGCTGGAGAGAGACCTGTGAGCCTTGATTTGTGTACTGCATAAATAGGGTCATGCGGGGTGGACTGTTAGGTTTGGTTTTGGGGTGACCTTGGGACTATAGGGCAGGCCTAGTGCCCTAGCCTCCCCCCAACTTTGCCTGTTTAGTCAGGGTTGCCAGCAACAGCAGGGAGCTGTAGTCGGGGCTCTACTTTGAAAACCTTTAGCTGTGGGGAAGGGGTCTGAAATTACTCTTGTCAAATTGCCCCCTAAAGAAGTTGTATTGCTTCACAGAACCCACCACAGGTAATGAAGCGCCTGGGTTTTAGTCTTTAGCAGCCCTGGTGTCAGCTTTTACTTTGGGTGTGCAGTAGTAGCTAGTTTTCTGGTGGGCAGTTCCACTCCCCATGGTCAGTGAAGGCTTAAAAATACTAAATGGAAAATTCCGGAAAACCTCACGCAAGGCTGAGTGGTGCTGAGCTCTGGGAGCCCCTTTGAAGGAGGCAGCTCCTCCCTAGTGCATCTCGCCGACCTACTGTCTGTCTCCACCTTGTATGCACCGCCTGCCTGCCCGCCTTCTGGTTTGCCGGTTTCCACGTGCGGGGTTCCCTGGGTGGCCGCGGGGGCGGGACGTTCCCTGGCTCACTGCCCTCTGTCCTGTTTTGCAGCTCGGCCTTCCCGCCTCGCTCTCCGCCATGAACGGGCCCACCGTGCAGCCGTCCCGCACGTCCTCTGCACCCGCGTCGCCGGCGTCCCCGCGCGGCTGGAGCGACTTCTGCGAGCGGCACGCAGCGGCGGCGGCGCGGGAGCTGGCCCGCCAGTACTGGCTGTTCGCGCGCGCGCATCCACAGCCGCTGCGTGCCGACCTGGTGTCGCTGCAGTTCGCCGAGCTTTTCCAGCGCCACTTCTGCCGCGAGGTGCGCGAGGGCCTCGCGGGTCCACCGGGCCGCGACTACCGCGCCACTGCCCCGCACCACCGCGCCGCGCTGCCCAAGGCACGCAGCTCCGAGGACCTGGGCCCGCGACCCTCCTGCGCCCTGCAGCACCTGCGCCGTGGCCTGCGCCAGCTATTCCGCCGTCGCTCGGCTGGGGAGCTGCCAGGGCCTGCCAGCGACACCAATGATACCGATAACGACAACTCCGCCACCAGCAGGCTAGGACCAGCCCGCAAGCTGCTACCCTGGAACCTGCGGGAGCCAGCAGCGGAGGCGCTCAAGGAGGCGGCGCTGCGTTACAGCCTGGCGGATGAGGCGGCCATGGACAGTGGTGCACGCTGGCAGCGGGGTCGCCTGGTGCTGCGGGCCCCGGGTCCAGGCCATGGCCGCCTGCTGCAGCTCTTCGACCCTCCCAAGGTGAGCGCCCTATACTGTATGCCCATAGTTCGGCAGGACTCCGTGACCCCGACTTATCTAGGGCAGTGAGTCAGCGACCATGGAGAGTTAAAGGCTTCCTTGGGCTCTGTTCACTCTGTCGGTAGGTTAGAGCAGATAGGTAAAAGTCTTTGAAAGTCCAGATCCAAATGACACCGACATAGGAGGTTTTAGTAAGTCCTTTTAGGCTGAACGGTACCCCTGCTGTGTCCACCTGTTGTCTCTTTTCTGAGAAGTTTGTTCTGTCTTGGCTGGTGGCCTGGGCTTCACTCTTACTCTGCTGGCAGGCAGGCAAGGCCCAGGGTATTAGTGCTGTGCTGCGGTGGTAGCCATCCCTTCTGCCTGGGTGTGTGAGGCCTGGCTGTCTGCCTTGATTTCCTCTCTGTTCTTTGATCCCATTCAGCATGACAGCTTGGCTGTAGGGTGACAGTGACATGAGCCCAACCCCGAGGCACTGATGGTCATGCGGTGCAGACCAGTGGTCACTGGACAGATACTTACTAGCACCTACTGTATGCTAGGCACACATTAGGGACTGGGAAGCTGCCCTTCTAATGGGAGCTGTGGAAGGAGCGAGCAGGTCCCCAGTGAGCTTACACTGGCATTGTGGCACAGGAAAGGCAGTTGAAGGGCCTTGAAAGACAATCTTCCCTACCAATGGCTGTCTGTGGTGCTGCTCTGAAGCTCTGAGTTCCATGTGTGCCTCTTAGTGACCAGAAGGACCTGCATTTCCTCACCCTCTGCCTTCTCTCTCCAGTGCAGAGTCTGGTTTTGTTTTTGAGATAGGGTCTTATCTAGCCTAGCCTAGTCTTGAAATAGCTATGTAGAGAATGATCTTGTCTCCTACCTCCTGGATGCTGGGATTATAGGCATGCCCACTGGGTCTGTTCTGTGTGGTGCTAGGGATTGAACCTGGGCGTTGTGCATGGTCAGCAGGACTCTACTCACTAAGCCACGGTCTCAGCCCCTATGTATTTACTTATTTTTTAAGATTCACTCTTTTGAGTACATTGGGTTTCGCCTATATGTATGTCTATATGAGGACGCCAAATCCCCTGGAGCTGTAGTTACAGACAGTTGTAAACGGCTGTGTGGGTGCTGAGAATTGAATCCCAGTCTTTTAGAAGAGCAACCAGTGGTCTTAACTGCTGAGCCACCTCTCCAGTCCCCTATAGTGTTGAACTTTTTGAACTTTTGTGTTCTTTTCAGTGCAAGCACTAGCCCATAACTGGTTTAGCGATCACCTGTTGTTGAGTGGTTTGGTGGTTTCTACCTCAGTGCCTTCCCCATCCCCCATTTCCACCCCCCCTCCCCCGGAGAGAAGGTCTTGCTGAGATCCTCTTGCATCAGCCTCCCAAATGCTGGGACTACAAATATATGCTCCTATACTTGGCTTTTTTGGGATTTTTCTGAATAATGTCATAGTGACATTTGGATATAAGTTTCTGCAGGGCATGTGTTTTTGTTTCTGTTGGGTTATTCCTGGAAATATTGCTTCCAATATCATGGCTTTTTCCAAGTGGCTGTGCCAGTTGGTGTCCCTAGTGGTGGTGACTGAGGGACCCCTGCCTTTACAGCCTCACTTACTCTTGAACCTGGTCAGTTCCAATGGACATGTCCTGGTGTCTCAGGACTGTTAGTGTCTCCTGATTACTGTGATTTATTCTTTTGTGAAGAGCCTGTTTTCTTTCTTTGTGTGTCTGCATCTGTATGTTTGGGTATGCATGTGTGCATGTATGCATGCATGCGGAGGGCGGAGAATGACCTTGGGGGCCTTTGTTCTCCACCTTATTTTTAAAGACAAGGTGTTTGAACCTGGAGCTCATCAATTCAGCTAGCCCACCTGGCCAGGGAGTCCCAGGGGTCTGTCTGTCTCTTCCCTTTGCTGGGCTGTGCCCAGCTATTTCCAGGATTGTTGGGAGTTCTCGTGTTTGTGGGTCATGCTTTTCGAGCTGAGCCATTCCCTTGGCCTGCGTTCCCTTTCTTAGGACTTCCCAGGCTTCAGTGTGCAATGGCCCTCTTCTGCTGCAGATGTCATGTCGCACAGTGAGGACTGCCTCTTTACCAACACACGTTCTTGCCTTTGATGTTGATCAGTCATTGTAATTTAGCCTGTGAAGGGATGGGAGTGTCGAGGTCAGGGAATAACTGGCAGGAGTCAGTTCTCTCCTTCCACCACCTGGGTCTCCGGAATGGCTTAGTGGCAAGCACCTTCCTTTACTTGCTGAGTCATTTTGACAGATTATTTTTTTGAGACACCATCTCCATATGTAGCTGAGGTTGGCCTTCAACTCTTCAATCTCCTGCCAAGCGTCCTAAGTGCTGGAATTACCGGTGTGCACCACCACACTGGTTAAGAAGCTCCTCATTTCATTGCTTTCTGTATCCTGCTGAAGAAATCTTGACCCACCCCAGGCTTTGTGGGCACTTTGTCTTTATTCCTGGAACTTTGCTGGAGGCTTTCTCAATATGGCCATGGGCATCTTGGGCTGAGTTTGTATATGGGACTGACGCGGGCTACCACACTCTGCCAGTGGATATGCGGCTGTGTGCTGGGGAGACTTTCCTGTTAGTCCAAGGCCACTTGATGCTGAAGCGCCCATCTGTAGGGATGTGTTTCTGGAAGTCTTCTGTCCTGCTGGCCAATATTTTGGCTTATGCCAACACCACTGTTTAATTTGCCAAAGTTTCCTTGCCTTTTCCCCCTCACCCTAGACAGGGCCTCACTTGGTGGCCTGGGTAGATCTGGAAATCATCATCTAGCACAGGCTGGCCTTCAGATGAAGGCAGTTTTCCTTCTCTAGCCCCCTAAGTGACTCCTTGTGAATCTGGCAGCAGGGGACAGCTGGCTAAAGGCCCCAAGGTGGAAGGTGTGGAGCATATTTGAAGGAAGAGTCGGGAAAGCTGCCAGGTTGGGTGGAGGCACCCTGAGGACTTAGTGCTGTGCTGTGCTCCTAACAAGCACACGGGTGAGAGAACACTTCTCCTTATTCATAAGGAGCCCTGGAAGGAGAGAAAGCCTAGGTCTACCGTAATCTCCATCGATGGGAAACGAAGGTATTAGATCAAGGTCAATCTTAGTTACATATCAAAATGGGGTTAGCCTGGGCCTCAACAACAGACAAAAACGTAAGGCTGGGCGTGATGGACATCCCCTCTCAAATTATCCCAGTACTGTGGAAGCTGGGGCAGGAGGATTGCCTGTCCAAGTTGAGCCTAGGATACAAAGTAAGCCCATCTAAAAAAATAGAATCAGACATCTTGAGACTGTGACATAGGAGGGTCCCTGTACCTGGTCTTACCTGTGTGGTCTAGTAGAGACCAGAGGACATCACTGGTTGAGTGACCTCTGTGCAGTCTCAGGGCAGTGGCCGGGGATGCTGTGTGGGTGTGGTAGACAGTCATATTTCAACAGTGCCCCAGCTGGAGGTACCATTGTGGTACCATAGGGAGCCCCAGCCTTTGCACCCCGAAGGGGCTACCCCGAAGGTCCCTACCGCTTGGCCCAGTTGGCAGGGGTGGTTTCCAGGCCTGGTGACTTCCATGGCACCTGTGCTGTCCCTCTTAGCCCCTGAGAGCAACAGGTTAGACCAGGCTCAGTCTCACTTTGAGACTGAAGGTCTAGTGTCACCACTCCCTGTGGCTTCTGTGGTGTCAGGAACAGGAGTGACTTCAGAGTTTGCCCTGGTCAGGCCTGCAGGAGCTGTTACTTAGAAAGGTTTCACAGCTGGTGGTGGAGTGAGGTTTGGAGTACTGTAGGAAGGGAATGGGTGTAAGACATCCAATGCCAGGGGTCTCTTAAGTGTGGCTGTGTGGCCCGAAATAAGTGCTTCAGAAGAAGCTAGAGTGGTGATGATCAGGAGAGCCATGCACTTGCTGGGCACAAGGACAGGAGGCTAAGAGGCCTGAGGAGCCCAGGGCATACAGGGACCTTGCCTCCCTTCCTCCCTGCTGTGTGGGAAAGAGGAAGCAGAAAGAAAGGGCTGGCCACTGCCGGCCTGGCGGTTTCCTCTGGGCTGGGGAGGAGGTGGCGGGGAGGTGGCAGGAAGCCCTATTCTGTACCCACCAGCTCTGCCGGGTTCCAGGCTCTGTGGTCCCACAAGCCCCACCCCCACCTCCGCCCAGCCATGGGAAAGGCACTTGACCCTTGAAAGACAGGCCTGGCTTTGGACCTTTGCAGCTGCTGTCCCTGGTGCAGTGACTTTCCCTGTGACAAACACTATAGTTGACTCAGCCATGGAGTCCTCCCAAAATCCCTTTGGGGGCCCATCATGACATCAACTCCCATAGGAGAAGACTGGTCCAAGTCTAGAGGTGGAGGAGGCAGAAATGGGGTATTGTGTGAGCATATGGCAGGGGACATTAGGGTTGGGATTATGTTTGAACCCCTAAATGTGCAGATGGCTTTCACTGCCACCACCTTCATGGAAGTTGGCCCTGTTGCTTTGTGGAAAGCCATCAAGGAGTCAGAGCTATGGGCTCAGTGTTGGGATCATGGCTAAAGGCAGTGTGATGGACACTGGGGAAGGGGCACGTCTGAGCTCATATTTTGGCTTATGTCTTTGGTATGTAGCTCTGGGCTGACTTTCTGAGTCTCAGTTTTCCTGTATGGTAGACAGAGTGCATTGGTATATTACCATCTTGAGGTGCAGAAAAGACTCCTTGCATGAAAAACTCCAGACCCCAGAACTGGGTTTCCCGGTGCCCTCCCCAGTTAGTAGCCTGATGGCCGCCACACTGGGGAAATCCCCAGCCCACTGCTTTGTGAATGGAAAAGGAAGCAAAAGTTCCAGACGGGCTCCAGCATGGCTTCATGGGCAGAGGGACTTCTAGCCCTCCTTCTTCTCTCTCTTCTGGCTAAGGCTGGGATGAGTGGACAGAGACCCTCCTGGAAGAGACAGGACTCCTGGCCCTGGCACCAACACAGCAAAACTCTTGCCTCTAGGCAGTTGTCTGGAAGGGGCCACATGGTCTCAGAATGCTGCCACCATTTAGGAACTGACAAGGATTGTCCAAAGAGACCAAATCACAGATGGATTCCCTAGACTCCCCCTCTCCCTGACATCTCAGTTAATGGCTTTATTTAACCGTGTTTCCACCTGGCTTCTTCCAAGAGACTATCTCCTACTCTGCAGTGTGCCAGGCCCTGAAGCTGGCAGCTGGAGGCTTCCAATATAGGGGACTTCAGCCCATGTGGTCCAGTGTCCATCACAAAGTGTCAGTATGACAGGCGTGTTCCAGCCCTGCATCATGTGCACCCAGGTCAGACACCTGCAATGTCTCCCCAGTGCAGTTGATTCTGCACTGAGCATTGCTTATCTGAGTGTCTCCTTGGATGGAGTTACCAGAGAGAGCAGTCTTGGGCCCATCTCCTCACCCCCAGGGTTCAGGGTCCATTGGAAAATGATCTGGCTACTAAGACATTCACTAGTTCAGAGTGGTGTGGTCATCACCACCCTCTCCTAGAATATTAGCCAAAGGATTCAAGCTGGAAATAGCCTTTGTATATCTGTATTGTATCCCTTAGGTTTCCAAGTTACATCCATAATCTTATTTCGTTTAATGGCCAAGTAATAAATATTCCCTTGTATGGTTTCCCCACCCCCAAATCATGAGTAAGTGGAAATTAGGCTGTTTCTACTTGGGGAGTTTTGGCAAATAATGCTTTTGAACACCTGTTTGATGTGTCTAGTAGGTTGTTCACTCCACAGTTAGCATTCTGATGAGCTGCAAAATTACAACATAATGTGGCGTCACAGACAGGCATCCTCACTGCCTGGTCACCCCACGTCTCCATATTAGCTGCAGCTGTCGGGGTCTGAACCAGACTGGACTTGGTTCTATAGCTAGCTAAGGGTGTCTCTCCCATGCTCAGTGACCATTCCAGTGTTTGCTGTATCCTTTACCCAGCGGCACTAGTACTATGAGTCACCTGGTCACCTCCTCCCCCTCTTTACACTATGTAGCTCAAGCTAGCCTGGAACTTGTAATCATTTTGTCCCAGCTTATGGCTTTTATTATGTGTCTGTGCACATGTGTGCTCTGGTACCTGTAGAGATCAGAAAAAGGTGTTGGAGCCTTTGGCCGTCAGGTAGGTGCCACAAACTGGACTTGGGTACTAGAGATGAGAACAAAGTTCTTTTTTTATTCCTATATTTTTATTTTATGTGTATTGGTGTTTGACCTGTATAATATGTCTTTGTGGAGCTGGAGTTACAGTTGTGAGCTGCCATGTGGATGTTGGGAATTGAACCCAGGTCTTTTGGGAGAGCAGCCACTGTGCTATCTCTAACTTCAATATAAAGTGCTCTTAACTGCAGAACTGTCTCTTCAGTCTCCAGCCTATTTCTTTTTGGTTATCTATTTTTTTTTCAAGACCTGGCTTCTCTGTGTAGACCAGGCCGGCCTCCAACACAGAGCTTGCCTCTGTTTCCCAAGTGCTGGGATTAAAAAGGTGTGTGCCATCATGTCCAGCTGCCTTTCTCTCTTTGCAAAGTTTTATTCCTATACCATAAAATTTTCCTGCTTAAAGTGAACAATGCATTGTTGTTGTTTTTTTTTTTAGCATATTTACACAATTGTACAACTGTCTAATTGCAGAATATCTCACTTGAGAGGACTGTGCCTCTTTTAGCAGTCTATTCCCTATGGGCTGTCTATTCTGTGGATTCTGTTTCCGTTTTTTGGTCATTGGAGCTTTGGCCTGATGATGCATGCTGGGCAAGGATCTGTTACTGAGCTACACCCCAAACCTTCCCACTGCTTTAGGTCTCAGCAGGCCTTGACTTTGTTTCTCTGTCCCTGGTTTTTATGGTGCTGGGGACTGAACTAGGGCTTTGTGCATGTGCGGCAACACTGCCAACCAAGCTACACGTTCAGCCTGTATCATGTCTGTGCTGCTGATTTATATGTCCTTTATATGTCATGGCCCTGGTCCTGTCACATGTCAGCTCTCTGGCATGAGGTTCTTTAGGTCTCAGGGTCATTACTTCCTGTCTAGCCTTAATTTTTACCCCACAAAGGTTTCTTCTGAGGACTCCAACATCCACCTTGCCTTGACAGGCAGAGTTTTGGGCCTCCCTTATGCTTATGAAGCGTGCCTGTGGATTCCCTATGCTGGAAGCAGTTTCCTGAGGGGCTCTTTTTAATAGGGGGATTCTCCCTACCACATATAAATATAGCCTTACATGATATCAAGGTGTGTGTGTGTGGGGTCACTCTGGAACTTTCTTGCTCCTTGGTCCCACCCACTGGGTCTCTCCCTTCCACCATGACTTAAAAGTTTTGTTGTATTGCTAGCCTGCAAGCCCATTCCTTGGAAGCACTATGCTGGGCAGCCTGTGTTCCAGTACTGAGGCTGTCTTATCTAGCCATGGCTGCTCTGGCTATTATGTGACCATTGCTTTTTGGCCGCTGGGGCCACTCTGGACCATGCTGCCCACCCAGGGACTGCAGAGCTTTTGCCAAGGGGCCTTGGTGCTCAATCTTTGACCTGTAGGAAACCCTGGGGGGGGGGGGGGATGCTAGCAGGGCCAGTCCAAGCCCGACTGGCAGGTGCTGTGAATCTGGAATTTGTAGACTTTCTTACTTGACCCTAAGTAGCCTAGAATGGGAATAAAGTCCAAGAAAGAAGACAGAGTCAGGAAGATGAATGGGTTCAACAGACTGCTGCTGGACTTGTCAGAGTCCTTCTTTGGACTGACTTCTTGTCTGCTTGGCTCCCAGATGTCTCTGTAATCTGACTGGAATCTATTTGGAACAAAGTGGGGTATTTGTGTTTTTGTTTAGAAAAACAAGGCTTCCTATTATCTGGAGGTTAGCCTCTATCTCCCTAGTGCAGTACCTGATGCAGGCTGGATTTTGATAGGATCGTCCCAACACTGGAGTGGGTGTTTTCCATCACACAGGGCTCTAGGATGGCATTGGGGGTAGGAGAAGGCAGTCACGAATGGCAGGACTCAGTTGGCCCAAAGCCTTCTCAGCTCTCTCCTCCTAGACTAGTGAGTCCCTCCTCCTGTCCTCAGGTCACTCTAAACTGGGTGACTGCAGTGAGGCTGTGTCCTGTTATGACACTGGAGAGGTTCATTAGGCACTGTTTTGGAGGAAGGCTATTGTCATGGTCCCCCTGGCTCCCCTTTCCCTCAGGCTTCTACCTGTGTAGAAGTTCGTGGCTGTTTTCTGAGGATTTCAAAGCAGCCACAGTCTCCTTTCTTGGGTAGGTGTGACTTCCCTGGGCTATGTGCCTTCAGGGCCCCAAGGGGAAGCAGCAGTCTGCTGAAGATACTGTTGTGTACCAAGAAAGATCCTTGCTGCCCCTTGACACATGAAACTGTGTGGCTTTAAGAGTGGCCAGGAATCAGTTCAAGGACCCAAGAGGAGGCTAGTGAGTCAGCCTCTCATTTCCCAGCAGGCTGGGGGTGCAGTGGCTGGTGGCAGGACTCCTGACCTCTGGCTCCTTCCTGTCGTATGATTGCTGGGGCTATAGACGGGCAACTGCGGTGTGCCATGGCCCATGCAGAATTCACTGCCATCCTGGAAACATCTCAGGCCTTTTCTCCCACCATCAATCTACATTAGCGGTCAGGAATAGTTTGGAAAGGGCAGCTTGGGGATGTAGAGTAAGGGGCAGAGCAAAGTAGAAGGCCAAGATTCACCGTGGAAATGCAATGATCAGATTTGACTGAGTTCTTGGCTTGGAAGTAGACGGTATGGAACATAGTAGTTGGTGCCACTCTACTTCCACTTAGAAATCTCAGTGGGCCTGGCCACTTCAGTCCCACCCACAGCTATTCTGAGCTGGGTCTGGGGAGAGCTGCTTATTGGGCAGGCTTGACCAGTGAAGCACATTGGTAAGGAAGACTCCAAGGCTTCCAAATGGCTTTTGGCTAGAGACTCACACCACCCCCGTCCCCTTAGTAGTCCAACCAGATGGGCCATAGGCCAGTACCAGGTTCAGACACCCCACCCAGCAGGTAACTCACAACAGGCACTGTGGTGCTGATCCTATTAAAGCTTGCACCGGGAATTGGGAAGAACCCCAAGTCTGGTCGGCAGACAGCAATTGTGGACAGGTGTAGGAATCATGTCTTCCCCATTTGGCCCATCTCCAGCAGCTCCCCGTCACTCCTGTAACAGGCAGGTGACCAAGCTGATGGCACTGGGGTGGACTTTGTTTTAAGCTGGGGCAGGGCAAGAAGCAGAGTAAAAACCCAGGCTCTGATGTACTTGACCTGGTACTCTCTCCTATCCTGGGAAAAAAGCCATAAAGGGAGGGGAAGAGGCCTGTCAAGTCCTTTGTCCTTCCTTCTTCTCTGGCTCTCCCAGTAGCTTATCTTAGCTTCTGCTGGGAGCTGGTCCTCAGCCATCTCAGCAAGTAAGAACAATCTTATCACCAGAGGAAATAAGAACTAGAGGGCAGGCAAGGGGAGGGCTTCCCTCCTAGAAACAACTACCTGGTCTGGGTCTTAAGGTACCCTGGTCCTGAGCTTTGCCCTGGAAACTGGCATCCGTGCTGCCAGACAAACACATTAAGGTGGCATCTCCCAGGCATGTCGTGCAGCCAATTGCATTGACTCCTTCAACTGACTGTTCTGGGCTAGGCTGAATCTACTGGGCAGTAGGGTAGGGGAGGTCAGAAGCTTCCTGATTGGAGAGAGCTAAGCTGTAGAAGGGTGTTCTGTGCCTCCTCCTCCTAGTAGTGAGAGACTGCAGACAACACTTGAGAGGCCTGAGGTAGGGGAAAGCCTCCATGGGTTAACAGAGTGATGCCCCCCCCCCCCCCATTTTCCTAGAGCTCAAAGCCCAAGCTCCAAGAGGCCTGCTCCAGGATCCGGGAGGTCCGGCCATGTACACGCCTGGAGATGCCCGACAACCTCTATACCTTTGTGCTGAAGGTGAGTGCTGGGGCTATGGCTCCCTGGGAGACGCTGCTCTCTCCCCAGATGCAGAACTGTATGCTGCCTCTATGCAGGTGCAGGACCAGACAGACATCATCTTCGAGGTGGGAGATGAACAGCAGCTGAACTCATGGCTAGCAGAGCTCAGAACTAGCACAGGCCAAAGGTGAGGCCTGCCCCCTGCCTAGCCTAGCTGTGGTCCTCCCTGCTGGCTCCCTCCTCACCCAGCCTCTTCCCCTACAGGTTGGAGTGCACGAACACAGAGTTACCCCTTTCCTTTGTGGCAGAGCCTGGTCCAGCCAGCTCTCCAAGGGGAAGCACAGACTCCCTGGACCAAGGTATGTGCCAGACCCTTGGCCTCAGTTGTCTTGGACATGTGGCCCCCACACGTTACCACCACCATCTTTCTGCTAGGTGCTTCACCTGGAGCAGTGCTGGACCCAGCCTGCCAGAAAACAGATCACTTCCTGTCCTGCTACCCTTGGTTCCACGGCCCTATCTCCAGGGTAAAGGCTGCACAGCTGGTTCAGCTGCAGGGCCCTGATGCCCATGGTGTGTTCCTGGTGCGGCAGAGTGAGTCCCGGAGAGGGGAGTATGTGCTCACATTCAACTTACAGGGCAGAGCCAAGGTAGGGTCAGGAACGTGGTGGGCTGGGATGGGAGGAATGCAGCCTGGGCAGCAGGCTGACCTCCGCCTCTTTTCATAGCACCTCCGCCTGGTGCTCACAGAACGTGGACAGTGCCGTGTGCAGCACCTGCACTTTCCCTCGGTGGTGGACATGCTCCGTCACTTCCAGCGGTCCCCCATCCCACTTGAGTGTGGAGCAGCTTGTGATGTCCGGCTCTCCGGCTATGTGGTAGTTGTCTCCCAAGCACCAGGTAGGAACCCCGAAGTTTTTGTCAAGGGGTGGTATCGCCGAAGTACACAAAGCTTGTCTGGTGCATTTTCTTCACTGTTGAGACTCATCCATGTCACCTCTCCAGGTTCCTCCAACACGGTCCTCTTCCCTTTTTCCCTTCCTCACTGGGACTCGGAGCTGGGTCTTTCCCACCTCAACTCTTCTGGCATCCCCCCAAGCCTTGGCGCAGAGGCTCTACCTGGCCGAGTGACACCCCCAGAGCAAATCTTCCACTTGGTGCCTTCTCCTGAGGAACTGGCCAACAGTCTGCGGCACCTGGAACTGGAGCCTGTGAGCAGTGCCCGGGACTCAGACTATGGGATGGACTCCTCTTCACGGAGCCACCTTCGGGCCATTGATAACCAGTACACTCCTCTCTCACAGCTGTGCAGGGACGCAAACTTGTGAATGTAACCATCGTCCTCTCCTCCAGAGAGCTACAGGCTGTTATCAGCCTTCCCCAGCTCAAATGTCTTCTCTACCAGGCTGCCGCAGACTTTCTGTCAGCCATAGCTAGCCCCTGGCTTTCTCCCACTGTTTACAGATGTAGTTCTTGTGCACAAGTGCCACTAGCTGATACCCTAGGCCCAGAGCTGGCAGTGGAAACTGGTAGTGAGAGCTTATGACAGACTTCCTACCAAGTAGGCTCACTGCGAAGCACAAAACACTAACAAGTCCTGTCTCTTTCCCCATAGCTTCAGTTCCACAGCTGATGGATGCTTCTTAATCCCGCTTCTACTCTTAGCTTTAGACAGAAGCTCTGCCAGAGGGACAGGCTTAAAAGTCAAAAATGATTTTAAACATTTTACCTCAGATTACTTTTTTTTTTTTTTAAAGGATTCAGGTTTCCATATGAAATCACAGCTTACTGCCCTGCCCTGCCCTACTGTGCTATTGTGAAGCCAGGGGCAGCTAAGCACACCTGCTCCACCCATCCAAGCTAAGCCAGCACGCTAGTGTCCTTGTCTGCTCCTCCTCAGGACAGTTGCCTGCTACAGGGTAGCCACTGTCCTCCTTAATGTAGAGAATGAAGTGTGTCACCCTTTCAGGGAAATCCAGGCAGCTTGCAGAGAGAGGAGGGTGGCAAGGGACATTCTACCCCAGTGCCTTATGCATAAAAAACAGGACTCTGGTTTATAGCAGCTTTACAGAGGATGGGATGAACAGGTGGGGGAGAGACAAGCACAAATGAAAGCCTCCTATCTAGGCCTGTGTTGTGAACCCAAATTATAGCTTGCCCCTGACCTCCCCAACAAGCATCTGATGGCTTATTGAGTATGGCTCCATACTGGCCAAACAGGAAGCTGGCACCATAAAGAAATTCCTATAATAGCTCACAGTAAGTGTTCTGTCCCAGGTGGCAGCAGGGTCACTGGCGGAAGACTATGCTCCTGCACACACAATCTCTTCATCTAGATAGGGGCTAGAGTGGGCTGCTCCTGAGCACAAAGATGCCAGTGAGTGTAGCCTTTGGGCTCACAGCTGTGGCTTTAGGGGATCACACTTAATTCCTGGACATGTTTGTCAGAGGCAAACATGCTGATATCCTTCTCTTCTGGTTACCCTCTATACTGTGCAAGCTTGTGTGGCTCTTAGTGGATGGGGGAAGCAGCCGACTGTGCTTCACCTTGGAACACCCCCCATTGTGTTCACAGAGCAAGGCACATCCCACATAGGTGCAGATGTGTGTTTTGTCTTTAAAAGAACTAGCTTTCCATCATTTTCCACAAAAAGTATGAACCAAAGATATAAGCAATATTCAGTCACTGGTCCAGACTCCTCTCTCAACTGTATAGGAGGAGGGGGCAGCTGCCTCTGCCCCTGGCCAGAAGTTCAACCAACTTGAACCAGGGGCACCCATTTCTGCTGTTAGACACACAGCTCTCAGTAGAGGAGAGGTTGGCCATACACTGTAAACCAGCACCCCAGCCCCACAGCACTGGGACTCGCCCACTGTGGACAACTTCCTTTCAAAAGGTGTATATTATGACAAAGTCGTCTCATGGCCAACACCTTTTTTTTTCTGCTAGAGTTAGGTCCAGTTGGCTGAAGGGGAACAGGTGGCTTAGTGAGGCCCAAGCCAGATACCTGTGTCATTACCAGGCACTATCCCCACCCCCAGTAGTCCTGACAGACCACCATGGGCACAGCGTGAGCTGGCCCTATAGAGATCATAAGTGTAGCTAAACAGCCCCTGCACCATTACTTCCTTCTCCTGACTACAACTCCACACTAACAGCCACCAGCACCAAAGAATTAGGTCAGCTAACCTGCCTTGAATTTAGACCAGCAGTCCATATGGCTTTAACTCTTCTGCCTTTGATCATTTCTGTATCGTAGGAAAAGGAGTAGTGATCATTACAATTTTGGGCCAGACAACACTATTTTTACATAAGTTTCTTAACCTAAAAGAAGGCTTCATTTCTTTCCTGAGGGCTCTTGTTCAAATGTTACCTTAGTGCAAACATCGAGTGATAGACTGTCATCCACTGCCTCCTAATGAAGATGCATCCAACAGCCAATGTGTGGCTGGAATAAGCATTGTGACGACAGGAAGACGGGATTTCATCTTCTATCATAGGCAGAAGGTATTTGGCAAATCTTTGTTTTATGTACTGTATGAGTAACTTATTCTTGAATAATGCAAATTTTGCTACAGTGTACAAATTGCTATATGTGAATTAAAAAGATTTTCAGAATTACGACCATGTTCTCTGCAATACCAATTCCCTAGGGCTCCACTTCCCTTTCCCTTCTCCTGGCTGTCCTGTTCTTTGGACCCCTCCCACCCCTAGCTGCACTAAGGAAGGAATCAGGGCAAGAGCACAGACACAAAGGACACACCTCCAGACTGGTGAAGAAATATCTCCTGCCCCCTGCTGGTAACACAGGTCTGAACTGGGACACTGCATCAACAGTGGTTTGGTTCTGTAGATAGGAAAAAGGAAGCTTACATATCTGCTGGCAGAGACGGACTTTTTCTGAAGGCTCCCACCTCTGGCCAGCCTTCCTCCTGCTGAAGCCAACCACTAATCCACCTAAAGGAAATCTCAGTCTTGACTTTTTCTAGATACCTTGAGTCAGAACAAAGGTGAAAAAGAAAAGTTATTGGAGACTCAAACAGCACACCCAGCCAGGTCTATCCCGGGTCTGTCCCCCAACAACAGCAGGAGTCGCCACAAACACACACTAACTGGGTATCAGTTTTTAAAACTTTTTTTATTTTTTAATTTTTTTTTTAGTTTTTATTTTATATTATCTACAAAGTAAAAGTTTTCCCTTAACTTAAAAGTTGAACCACTGTAGACAGTGATTGCCTCATCAAACTTGATTTATAAATAATAATCCGTCAGTTTGGCGGTAAGAATTTACTGAACTTCGGTCAAGTTTAGTAAAAGGGCGTTCCAAGTCTTGATTTTTTTTTTTTAAGCGGTAATAGCAGCAAGAATCACTCTTGTTACTTCTTTTGCTAGCTGATGTGTTCATGACTCTCAAGGGCCATTAAAAAATAAATAACTTCCAGTTTCAGCAAGCAGAGCTGGGTACTTGCGGGACCCTGCAACAGCACATGGAATTATGGAACAGCCACAGTCCCTACATGCCTCTACTCGGTCCAGAACATCCTCCACTGCAAGTGAACTGTTAGCATTCCTATCGGATGTTAAATCAGTGTATCTTTTTAAAAAACAAAATAAATGAAGTTCTAGTTTTCTGTGCTTCCAGTTGGCAGAAGCAGTAGAAGGGAGGAAGGAATTTGGCCTTTCGGTTCCTCCAGGGCAGCTTTACAACTGCTGTTGGTGGTGGGCTTGTACTGTAAAAAAGAAAAGTGGCTATTTAAACAGAACACAGGCACCACTGCCCACCAGCCTAGTGTCTGCAGCACATGACTGCCAACTGCTCTTGTGCTAGCTTGAGTAAGACTGGAGGTTTAATGCTGGGTCCCCCTCCCCACAGCTGCAGCCAAGGTGGGACTGGGGAGGGAAGGGGGTGAGGAGAAACAAACCAGTCAGACGTAAAAACCACTTCAGATACAAGTCCTGGACTTGCTGCTTGTGGGGCAGGAGCACAGGCCTTCACACCCCCCCCCCCACTAATGCTAGCCAAGCACCAATACTTTCCAAGTCACAGGGGCGACAGGTGTTGCTACAGCAGCCATCCAGTACAAGACATCATGGGTGTCCTGTGTCCTGGGCACAGGTTGGGGCTAAAACTACACTCAAACCAGTCCGCACACAGCTCATCAGTGTTCTCCAAGCTACAATCAAACTCGGCCATGGGCATAAACCCCCCACGTCAGCCTATAGGGACTCAGGAAGGAACACGCTTGCCCTGTCCAGCCTGTCATACATAACCAGGAAGGCCAACTGAGTCCTCGGCATGCATCAGCTACCCAGAATGAGGCTGCTGCTTTTCAAGCCAACCCTGATACCAGCAGAACACACACAGACTCAGCTCCGGAGGCCCTGAGACCTGATGCTCCCTGACCATCACAATCCCTCCTGAGCACACTTGGACGGGCCTTGCTAGTCAGGTTTGGAGCCTGAAGCACTGGTCCTGCCTGCCATTCTACCTGTGCGAGCAGAATGCTCGGGGTGCCCCGGCGGCCCCTGCACACACACGCCTCACCTGAAGGGTGCGTCATATAGGGGAAATGCGCTGTTGTCGAGACTGGAATGGGCTGTAGTGCACTTTGAGCGAGGGCGGCCTGGGGACCGCCGGGTGGCTGTGTCGTCATTAGCATCATTGGCGCATGGGCAGTTGGATGAGAAGGAACCATTCCTGACTGTACATGAGCCTGAAACAGAGAGCTCTTTTACGCATACAGGCAACATCTCCGTCTTAAACAACAAGTCAACTGTTCCTTTCATTGGACTGGGACTCAAGAAAGGGCAAGATGGAGTCCTTGAGGCAGATCCTGTAGGGCTCGGACAGGGAAATTGGCCACAGCCTCCTAGTCCCCAGTATCTGCTCACAGATTATCACACAGGGCAAGATCTTCACCAAGAGCAAGCCTCTATTGGGGCAGGAGGGGCACTTTCTTAACTTGCTATGGCACAGGGCCAAAGAAAGACATCAATGTCCTTTTCAAGTCAGAAAGCAACTAACAAGGAAGGGCCTGTGAGGAGACTGCCTCCCCAGCACCCTAAGCAGCTTCCTGACTCTCTCCTCTTCCGCCCTCCCCCAGTTGTTATGGGTTCCCCAGAAATAGGGTGAAGCAGCACTCAGGCCCCTTACTATAAAAGCTTAGCTGATGGAGCAAAGTTAATGGCTCCAATGAGATGATAGTGATCTGAGTTGGGTCAGCCTGGTGCTCTGTACCAAGTGGCAACAACTTTGTTAGAAAAGTGATGTTGGCTGACCGGTTGGTGAGCTCAACCTCGTCTCTGCAGGGAGTGGGCAGAGCAGGAAGAGGCTGCTTCCTGCCTCCCATCCTGTGCATTGCTCTAGACCATCACCCCAGCGAAGCACTGGTTCACACCTTCAAACAGGCCCATGGCTCTCTGCTTTCCCTATGTTAGCCTCTTACTCTTTCTTCAAACAGACAAGCGAGGTTTGGGGTGAGCCCATCTTACACGTAACTTCACAGCCTCTGCTAGACACTTACAGGACCCTGACTCTCTTAATCTCACTCCACCAAAACACACTGACCAAACTGACTCCCCTCCCCACTGTCACCAGCCAATCAACAGGAGTATTTCCTACTACACACCCTTAGCTCTAGGGGAAAGACACCTAGTAACAAACTAGCCTTCTACAGAGACCCACCAACTGCACAGCATCTCTAGCTCACACCTTGCCAAAGCCTCAGTGGCACACTGTGACAGGAAATGGAGTCATTCAGTAACCCTAAGTGAGACCTGTCTCAAGGAGCTGCAATCAAAGTAGCAGAGAGACACCTGATGCAGCCACCTCACACTAAGAGTCATAGAGGCATCCCCTGGCCCTGGGCTGCCCTGGAGCTTCAGTTACACTACACCACAGACCAAGGCCAAGCGCTCATGAAGCACAACACAGAATTGCAGCAGATAGAGGGTAACCAGGCAAACAACTGAGACACGTCTCGGAATTCATGTGACTAACATTCAAGCTAACAGGCCCAGTGCAGTCACCTCAGAGAGCTGAGAACCATTAAAAGGCTGCCTGCCATCCCTGCCAAGCTCCCGTGTGTGCGTGTGTAGAGGTGTCTGTATGTGTACACATATACACATAGTGGTTAAGCTAGAAAGACGTAGCAAAGCAGACACAGAAAGGAAAGGACTGGGGTGCATTCCAGACTCAGTTTTAAGGTCTCAGCTGGGAAATGCTAAATCACAAGTTCACTGATCCCATCACAAAACCATAGCAACATTCATTGAGGGCCAGAAGATCACGTACTAAGCAGGGAGGGGAGACAAGCAGATGGCACCACACATGGGGTTTCCTGGCTCGGGGAGCATCTGGCTCCTTGCTGCTTATCTGACAACCACCATACCCTACGTGGCCTTCACAGAAACTTGGCTAGTGCTGGTTTACCTGAGGTACGTGGGCCATGTGCGGAGGGGTGGTATATGCCGGCTGAACATGAGAAGGATGGATGGTGAAGACTGTTTGTTGTGCTGCTGGGAAACTGCTCTGTGGAGACTGTGTATTAGAGGCAGGTGTCATGGAAGGTGGGGTTGGTGCCAGCCCAGCGTGGTAAATGGCTGACTGCTGCTGTGGACTGGCCAGATGAAGCGCTTGGGCGGCCTGGTGCTGATGGTGCTGCAAAGCAACGGGAAACTTCTTTATTGAGAAGCCAGTAGGATCAGAGCTTCACATCATTGAAAGCAGCATTAGCCCCACCCCCACCCCAGCCATGCCCAGGGAGGTGCAAGAGAAGAGCGAGGGCCATCTGTCCAGATGGCCTTTTCTGGGTTCTCAAGCCCAAGTCTCAGCCTGGCAGTTACAGGTCCAAACAGGTAGAGGTGGAGCAACTGACAAGATTATCAGACCATCAACTGCCCCACTAGCAAATGCGACTAAAGAAACCAAGAGGTAGTTGGGCAGAGGCTGAGTTCAAGGCCAGCCTAGTCTACAAGAGCTAGTTCCAGGACAGACTGCAAAAGGTACAGAGTTCTAGTCTGGACTGTAACACAGAGAAATTCTGTCTCAACCCCCCCCCCCCCCCACACACACACACAAAGACAAACAGGAAGGCAGCATTATTGAGTGACTTCAGGAATAAAATCCCAGACAGAATTTTAAGACTTAATAAAGAACTTTAAGCTAAAGGCTTTTCCACACTCCTGTTTCTGGTATTTACCCTTAGGGTATGGCTTACTTGACATTTTCAAAGCCTCCTCTGTAACCTCAACTACTTGCAGCTGCCTTTTACATCCTGATCAGATAGAGACCTTTAGGTAGCAGGGACAAGGAAGCAGCTGTGCATACACAGATCACATCTCTCCTTACCTGAACAGGACTGGGTGCAGGATGACTTCCACCATGCTGGCTTTGTTGCTGTCCAGTGGGAGTGGCCGAAGGCTGAGGGTGGGGCGTGTGTGGATGCAGGGTGGCACTAGGATGCGCATACTGCTGAGCAAGGGAGCCCGTGGAAACTGAGGCAAAAGGAATGTGTACAATTGATACATATTGATGACCAATGCCAGCCTGCTTGCCTCACTGAATGCTTCCAAGACCACTACAATCTAACCCATGCCACTGGCATTCTCTGCAGCCATTTATAACAGGCACAGCCTGGAAAATAGATTTAAGGGCTCTGTTTAACAAGGCTAGCATTTAATTCACATATTACATCAACACCGAGTTAATTTGAATTTACTCAAAATAGTACATTTCTCTTGGAGGTAGAAACAATTTCAAAAATCATTCTGGCTAACACGAAGAGAGATGCTGCCTCTCAATGCCATCATCTGGCTACCCTCACCATGCTACTGTCCTGTGTTCTCAGTGCCCACATCGGTGAAGCTAGGGACAAGGACAAGGTCATTGCCATCTCAGTCACAGCATCCATTCCACTCCTGCTTCCTACTGACCAGCTCTTAATAAACCCGAGATAAAACTGCCACCCCATACTGTTTGCTAGAGTAATTATCAAAGGAAACATGATGAGCCCATTAAAATGTGATCACAAAGACCAAGACCAAAGGCAGCTCTTTATCCGTCTAGTACAGGCCCACCTTGGTACCAAACAAGATCAAGTACCATGCCTTTCATAACAGTAGGCTGAGCATGAAAAGCCTGGGAAGGCCTCACAGCTCCTGTGACTCTGGACAACTCATGGGTTCAAACTTGAACAGTGGGCAGAAGATGGATGGAGTGCTCTGAAGGCATAGGTCGACCAGCGTCAGACCTTAGCCCTCCACAACCACGCTGTCACACATAGATGCTTGTCACACCATGTTCATGGTCTTCAGATAATATGTCAGCAAACACGGAGTGTGGCAGAGAAGCAAAAACAGGGTCAGCAAAGCTGCTAACAATGGCCAGCATGGAGTACTCTACTCTGGCTGTGTACCACCTCAGTGACATAGAGGGTTACGGATAATAAACAGTCCTGAGATGTGTGACAGTACTCTATTCCCAACAATAAATGCATCTTAGAGGGCAAAACAGAATGCCAGGGCTGGGATGACCTCTACATCAAACCACCAAGGTCACAGCTGTCACCAATGTTCCTTAGTATCCAGGTGAGACTGATGGAGGTGGTTTTGTTTAGATCCTAGTCAAGCTTCCTAGACTGTAAGAGCCAACAGACATGATAACAAGAAAACCACGGCACCCTAATCTCAAGTGTTTTCAACGTGATGGTTTTCTGTAAAGTAGGAAGTCTCCATTTTCTAACTCACTGGATTGTTAAAAGCCACCTATAACCAGGACAGTACTTAAAGCTACTTTTCTTCTTGCAGACAGAATCGCCTAATGTAGCCCAGGCAGGATGATGAGGACTGATCCACATACATTAAAACCCCATCCACTGTTTATTGTTTCCTTAATAACAATGCTAAATCTAACCAAGGAAAGAAATCCTCAAATTCTATTTATGGAGTTTCATAAAGATAGTTGGTATAGAAGCTCAAGAATTCTGAAATTTCATTAGCCATTAATTCCTAAGTATTCAGAACACAAAAAGATAAAGGGAAAGGCAGAGCTTTGCCCAGAAGGTCCTGAATTCCAGCTCTAGAACAGAAAGAAAAACAACAAATAACTCTGAAGGAAACTAGCAAAATGCTCACTACCTTCACCATGGAAACACAGCCACTGCAGTAACAGTGATGGTGTCCATCAAGTTTCAAAACTAAATCCGTCAAGTGGAAAAATGTAAAAGTCTTGATATTGCCATCTGGAAAGAGAATTAATTTTTATTTCTTTCTTTTTCTTTCATACCCCAAAATAGCCTGGAACCCATCATATCCCCTGACTGCATCAAACTGTACATCTCAGCCAGGACGAAATAGCTTTACTACCAACTCACGTTATGTTGAGAATCGAAGCCAGAGCATCCTGCATACTAAGTGCACAGTCTACCACGGAGTTAACACCCTTAGCCACATTCGTAGAAGTTAGTAATTAATTAGAAAGAGGGCCTAATGAAGCCTGAACTCTCATTATATAGCTCAGGAAGACCTTGAACTTCTAGGAGACCCTCTCGCTCAGCTTCTCACATGATGGGGTTATGATTTTATTACTACATCCAGTTTTTATTTTTATATACAAGATGGGTCTTGCTACATTGGCTAGTCCCAAACTCTTAGGCTCAACTAAACGTCCTGCTTTGGTTTCCTGAATAGGCTAAACATATGCCATGCCCAACTTTAACTATGCACTTATACTAATCTTAAAATTATTACTACTAGGGAGGGGGACAAATTATTACTACAGGGGAGGGGGAGGGAAATGGGAGGCAGTGGCGAGGAAGAGGCAGAAATCTTTAATAAATAAATAATAAAAAATTATTACTACTGCTGTGTGTATGTCAGGAGGTGAGAGTGGAGGAATGTGGCAGGTTCTCTACCTTTATGTGGATTATGGAGCTTGAACTCCAGTTGCCAGGCTTGTATGCACTTTTTTTTTTAAGCCACTGAGCCATCTTGCTGGCCCTATATATACATCTTTTAAAAAGATTTATTTTTATTGTATGCATGTATTTTGCCTGTATGTAAGTTAGTCTGTGTAACACATGTGTGCAGTGCCCACAGAGACCGGAAGAGAACATTGGATCCCCTGAACTATAGTTACAGATGGTTATGAGGGGTCATGTGGGTGCTGGGAACCAAACTCTTATATTTTTTGTTGTGAGCCTAGCCTTTACTGGCTGAGCCATCTCTCCAGCACAGGCCCTTAATTCTTAACACTAAGCTATCTCTCCAGGCCCACAATTAAGCATTTTAACAAAGTGTCTCTGTAGTGTGAGTGTTCTAATTTGGACAATCTGCATGCATAGCTCCAATGCTGTGAGGAACCCACACAGGCTTTGTCTATAAAACTCCAAACTGGCCGGGCAGTGGTGGCACACGCCTTTAATCCCAGCACCCGGGAGGCCAGAGACAGGAGGATCTCTGTGAGTTTGAGACCAGCCTGGTCTACAAGAGCTAGTTCCAGGACAGGTCCCAAAGCCACAGAGAAACCCTGTCTCGAAAAACAAACAAACAAAACAAAACCAAAAACAAACAAACAAAAAAACCCAACAAAACCCCTCCAAACTGAAACAGAGCTCCCCTTCCTCCTAAATACCAAGTAACACGTCCTTAGAAGTAAAAGCCAGAGCTGGGAGAAGCACAACAAAGCTGCAAGCAGCACCTTTAGAAGGAGCACTAGAAATGTTTTCATCTGCTTATTTTCTGACTCACAGTCCAAAACAAGCACCTTCTAAAGTAATTTTTTCCCCTTGCATACAAAGAGAGAAACTGGGGAAACAGGAACCTCATACAGGCACTCCACACTAACAGCAAAGTTAAAGCAAGGAGAGGGGAATTATAAAAATACGGGAAAAACAGTTAAAAGGGTACAGATGGGTGCAAGAAGCAGAATATGGTAAACAAGAGCAGAATTCAAGGAGGGTGAAGAACAGGGGTTTCAGCTAAGGAAAGGATTAAATGGTTTCTGCTATATAGACCAAGTTAATTTAACTACCTGGGAAGTTAAAAAGACAATCCTCTTAGAAGTTCTGAAATGGCTATCACCAGCTAACCCACTACTTACAAAGCTTGAGCAGCCTCATGAGAGCTGGGTGAGATGAGGACGAAGTGTTCCTTGACGTAAGTATTTAACATTCTAAACATGCCATTAGTCAAAAAATTTTAACATTAATCACATTTCAAAACCAGTCTCCTAAATTAAGATGTTAAGAGAAGCAAGTTCAGTCCATATGGCCACATGTTTAACCTGTGAACAGATTCTGTCATTTTGCCCTTGGATGCACAAATCATTGGTGATCACCAGCACTGGAAAACAACACTGAGAACAAGTAGAGCGCGATCCTCCAACTTCAACACTAGTTCCGAAAAGGGGATAAGAGACAACTAACTAAACCAGGGCAAAATGGAAGTGGAATAGGTGTAGAACGCTGTGGCACCTAAAATCCCCACTAACAGCTGTTGGTTCTCGTGCTGATTCCTTTCAGGAGGAAGTTATGCTCAGGCTATTAGTGCTAAGGGATGATGATTGAGGCTCTCAGCCATTTACAGGAAAATGGCTGCAACAGAGATAGCAGGATGGTGAGGGTAACTGCATGTGAGACCTCAAACTGTGTTCTTAAAGCCCTCCTCACGGTACAGTCAAGACTACTTTCCCAAGAGCATAAAGGACTCCATTTGTTAACTTATCCCAGGCACCAAAAACATGGCAGCTAATTTTGGATACCAAGGCTTGGTACAATTAATTAAAATTTTAGGTCAAAATGTTTTCAAAACCCAGTATCTGATGATTAGTAGTCATTTCAAAATAACTCAGAATTTAGTCCTTAGTATAACAAGTTAAATCTCAGTGTTCTCTAGAACTCAGGTTTCATAGAAGTGACACCAGCAGCATACATTTCTCAAGGGCCTCTACTACCAAAGTCCATGATCTGCTTTATTTTAAAACACTGCCCCCAAATTAGGGAAAATCCATCGACCAAGTTTATGTATGGAATAAGGCGGTCTAGACCTCATACTGCTGGCTTTGAGGCCTGAGCTTCCAGAGGCCTTCTCATGCTGAAGGAAGTTCTAGACACCCCTACCACATCTGCTCCAAGCACTCTAAGCCTCTAGGCATGCAAAGAGGGACAAGACGGGCCTGTCTCTCCAAGTACCTCATCCACCCTTTGCTATGGGAACCCCAGTGAGGACACTTCTCGGTCTTGCCAGAACACTACAAATTAGTGCTTTAAGCTTTAAACTAGACTTGTAGCTTGATATAAAATAGTATTAGTTGTTCAGAAAGTTTCCTTGAATGAGGTGTTGCCCGCACAGTTACATTCTTACTTTGTATATAAAAACTGTTTCCCGAAACAAATCAGCCTGTCTTTGTACCCAACCTTATTAAGATGGGTCAGTTCATCTGTCAATCTCTGAATTATACAAAAACAGCCACAATTCTTTTTGTTTTTATACTAGGGAATGAATTCAGGGTCTAGTGCATGCTAGGGCAAGTATTCTACCACTGGATCACATCCCCAGCCCCGACATGCATACTTTGATTCTGTCTAGCAGAAGGAAAATATTCTCCAACAAGTTAGCTACATGTATCCCTTAGTGTTTACTGTGTAATTAAAATTAGTATAAAAAACCCAACTCACTGGCAAAGTAGAAAGAAGGGCTTGTCTCCTTGTTGTATGGTAATTTGGGACATGCTGAATTTGGGAAATAGAAAGGTAAATTAGCCTCTTGAGGTGTGCATTCCTGATGTTCTGGAAAGGCCGACATATTCAGTGATCTTTTGCATTCACGCACGGTTCACTCTGACAGGGGTGACCAGCACTGTAAATAAGCATTGCTGCAGAGATTTACAAGCGAACAGGACTGAACCGGAAGGCTTTCCTTCTGTACTGAGGGAGCAAGTCCACACGCTGACTTGCTTAAATAAAAAGAATAAGATTATTATCTGATATAGAATCATTAACTGATAAAAAAAAGACGAACATGGCATCCATCAAACAGCCTTGATATAAGCAATGTACTGAGATAATACAATGTTTCAGCTAATTCATAATACGCAATTTTCCACAGCAACACAAATGTCATCACAGGCCCCTGATAGTGAATCTCAAGGTTCATGATATAAAAATATAAACACAAGTATTACACCATTTCTTATTAAAACGTGCCAGTATAAAAAGGGCATAATTAAAGCACCTGAGAGAATGTACCCCAACATTAACAATTGGTTGTCAGGCAGACAGATGATGAGAAACTTATTTGTTTATTATACTTAAAATTTATCTGCTTTAAACCACATGTCAAAAGTATTTAGCTTGGTTTAGCTATGCACACCTCTAATCTCAGCCTGGTGTACATAGCAAGTTCCAGGCTAGCCAGGGCTACATAAAAGACCATCTTTTTGGTGAAGTGGAGGTGGAGAGAGGAAGAGCACATTCACTTCTTCTGGCTGCCTTTGCACTGTTTCTGAAAATGAACCCATTGCTGAAATACAAACTCAGATGAGCAGGAGCCTGAATGTGAGGAGGTCAGAAATTAAAGTCACTTCTTAGGAGGCAGAGGCAGCAAGATGAGGTGTTAACAGAAGTCCTTTCTTAAAAAGAGTACAAGGTTAGCTGGGTGGTGGCGGCACACGCCTTTAAACTGCATTCAGGAAGCAGACAGGTGAATGGATCTCTTAAGTTCGAGACCAGCCTGGTCTACAAAGTGAGTATCAGGATAGGCGTCAAAATTACACAGAGAAACTCTGTGTCAAGAAACCAAGAGTACAAGGTCACACATGATGTAATCTCCTTATCATAAAGGTCCTTGACTTGACTACACCAGTAACCACCAACAAAAAGGAGATGTGAGATTAGCATCAACAACTGGGGCAAAGCACCACAACATCACAATCTCGAGTTAGCCAGAAGTCAACCTAATTCAAATATTTGATTTCTTGAGTTATATAAAATACATACTTTTCAAAAGAAATAAACGTAAAATTAGCATTCCCATACAGCAGTTTTCAAACAGTATTTTGGTATAACTGACCAGAGGAAGAGCCAAACTAACTGAAATTACTGGCAAGGTATTGACAAACTTGTATGAACAGATTGAAAAATCACTTATTATTGCCCAAAAGAAAAAAAATGAGAGAAAAAAAAACCAAACAATTAACTGCCTAGTGTGCTTTTTAGGAGCTGTACGATAAAGGCAAATCCAGATGAGCAGTCCCACCCGCCTACAAGCAGGCAGCTTCTGCAGCCTCACACTGGCCAGGCGACAATGGCTGTTCCTAAAATGAAAACTTCAGCTCAAGAGTTTCCTCTTAATCCAAAGGGGAGGGAGCATGCCAGAAAAAAGGAGGACCTCTTCTGAATCTGTGGTAACCACAACTGTCCACAATCTAACCAGCTTGTCAATCAAGCCTTTAACAAGCTGGAAAATTGCAGAAAAGCATGCCAGCTGCAGGAATGCCAGCAAGAGGATCACCAGAACCTTTCCATACAAGGGCTGATATAGTCCCAGGGATCACACACTGAACACACATAGAAGGATATATCATGATGAAACAGAAACCAGGCCAGTGTGTCACTTTATAAATCAAATAACCAGGAGGCTTTTAAGACAGGTTATTCTATGCCACCCAGGGTCTCTGAACTTCTAATCCTCCTTTTTTCCTGGTGTCCACAGGACTGAGATTTACACGCTCACCATGCCAGGAAAACAGACGGACTTCTTGAAAGCACAGCAATTACCCTATCTGTTATTCTAAACACCTAATGCATGATACAATAATAATTGAAAACCTGTAATTATTTTGAACAAGCAGACTTCAGACTTTTATAAAGGCAAATGTTTTCCATAGCATATATCTTAACTACTAATGAACCCTGGTGGCAGGAGTGCAATAGCTCAAATGCATGCTTGGGATTACAAATACAGGGAGAGCACTCAGGCTGCCCAACCCTAGTCTTAATCAGCCACCATAATGTTGCAACCATCAAGAAGGATAGAACCTATAGACCTAACAATCCTGTATATGCTCAATTAAGGCATCAAAACTAAAAAGATTAGAAACATAATGTCTGTACATCTCCACACATTTATAATCATATTCCTATATGGTATACTTCTCAACTGTATAAATAAGCGATACTCATTTAATACTCAAATACACTGAAATGTCACTATGAAACTAATTATGTGCCTTGTTTGTTATAGTGTCATCTAAAGCTAGAGTATTCAAGGTGCATCGTAAGAAGCATGCAAGCATGTTGTAAGGTGGTCTAACAACTATGTGATGATGTGGAAGTAGGAATGACAGCACATCCTTTCCTGCAAGGCTTAGGCAGGGTACGTGGAATGACCAGGGTAGAAAGGAAGGCACCTCTCTTCTACAAAGATATTCTCTATTACATTATTATCCTCCCCCCACCCCCTTTCTGGAACAGGGTCTCACTATGTAGCCCTGGCTGTTCTGGAACTCACTCTGTGGACCAGGATGGCCTCAAATTCAGAGAATTTGCCTGCCTTTGCCTTGTGTTAGGTGCTGGGATTAAAGGTGTGTGCCACCATACTCTTGGCTCACGTCACTTTAAAAAAAAGATTTATTTACTTATTATATATAGTGTTCTGCCTGAATGTATGCCTGTGGGCCAGAGGAGGACACCAGATCTCATTACAGATGGTTTTGAGCCACCACGTGGGTGCTGGGAATTGAACACAGGACCTCTGGAAGTTCAGTCAGTGCTCTTAATCACTGAGCCATCTCTCTAGCCTGGCTCATGTCATTTTTTTAAAGAAGGAGAAACATGTCAAGACAGAGATATTGCATGTACAAAGTAGAATAAGACTGCTGATAATATGAGTCATTTGTTTTTTTGTTTTTTTTCAATAACACATGCTAATGCTGCTGCTCATTTATTTATTTATTTATTTATTTATTTATTTATTTATTATGTATACAATATTCTATCTGTGTGCATGTCTGCAGGCCAGAAGAGGGCACCAGACCTCTTTACAGATGGTTGTGAGCCACCATGTGGTTGCTGGGAATTGAACTCAGGACCTTTGGAAGAGCAGGCAATGCTCTTAACCACTGAGCCATCTCTCCAGCCCGAGTCATTTGTTTTTAAGACTCTCAATGCCACAGTCAGGTTACTTCTTCTTGTTTCTGAGGTAGGGTCTATGTTGCCCAGGCTTGTCTCTATCCTCCCACTCCAGTAGGCAGGATACAGAATCACAGCACCATATCTATCTCAGGGTATTCCTAAACAGAGTATCTTTACAGAGCTTCAAAACAAATACAGTCATACACACACAAAAGACAATAAAATGTTTCCTACCATACATGGCATGCGTCTGCTCATGGGCCCCGAACTGAGTTGCCGAGGAAGATACTAAACCAGGCTGTGCATGTGCTGGTGGTGCCATCATTCTGGCATTACCCTGTATGACAGGGCTGTACACATGAGGATGCTGTATTTAGACAAAAAAAAAAAAAAAAAAAAAAAAAAAAAAAAGGAAGAAAAGAATATTATACCAAAACAAACCATGTGGATTTTAGTTAATATTCTTTTTCTAATGATTCATTTTGTGTTGGGGTGTGTGTGTGTGTGTGCGCGCACACACGCATTCTTGTCTGTCTTGGTGCTTGAAGAGGCCAGAATAAGGCTTCAGATCCCCTAGACCTGGAGTTCCAGGAGGCTGTGAACTGCCATGTGGGAACAAACCTGGGTCCTCTCAAGAGCAGAAAGTGCTCCTCACAACTGAGCCATAACTCCAGCACAGTTAGTTCCAATGCCAACGTTCACAGTTTCCAGAAACACTTCAGAGTTCTAAAGTCTTCTCTGGATGCTTCCTTTTGAAATTCTTTTTTTTTAAATTTATGATCTATTTATTTTATGTATGTGCCTACTTATCTGTTTGTGCAGGTGCCCATGGACACCAAAAGAGGGTATCAGATCTCTGAAATATTCACAGGTGATTGTGAGCCAACCAGAAACGGCTGTTGGACACTGAACCCTTTGTCCTCTCCAAGAGCAGCACAAGCCATCTCCCGACCCGGTTTCCAATGCACCAGGCATGATGTGGTTCACATATGTATATGGCATGCAAAACAATCATATATAAAATAAAATATAAATATAGAAAAAGTTATCATAATTCTTTTTTTTTCAAGACAGGGTTTCTCTGTACTTTTGGAGCCTGTCCTGGAACTAACTCTTGTAGACCAGGCTGGCCTCGAACTTACAGAAATCCACCTGCCTCTGCCTCCTAAGTGCAGGGATTAAAGGCATGCGCCACCACCGCCTGGCAAGTTATTATAATTCTTTTTTTTCCTTTTTTTTTTTTTAAGATTTATTTTATTATGTATACAATGTTCTGCCTGCATGTGTCCTTGCAGGCCAGAAGCTGGCACCAGATTTTATTACAGGTGGTGTGAGCCACCACGAGGTTGCAGGGAATTGAACTCAGGACCTCTGGAAGAACAATCAGTGCTCTTAACACTGAGTCATCTCTCCAGCCCAAGTTATTATAATTCTAACTTGCAGAGATACATATTTAAAAGCCCCCGACACCTTAACTATCTGATATCATAACCACATAAATACATGAACTGTTGAAATGAGAAGTTTTTCTAATAAGTTAAAATCAGAGAGGCCCTTTTGGCCTTACCTGAGACTGATAATGCGGCACATGCTGAACTAGAGGCTGACTGGGAAACTGCTGAGGGCTGTAGGCAACGTACTGAGTGGAGTAAGCGGGCGGGGTGGCTACAATGGGTGGGCCTGCTGCTGAGGCAGGATGCATCATGGTGCTTTGATGATGCTGGTCTTGTCGCTGTTGGGGCATATTTGGTACTGCAGGGAAGAAAAAGAAACACATTACTAGGAAATGAAACCTCCTCAGCACTCAGTATGCATTTGTGTGGTCTACAAGGCTCTGTGTGATTTGACTTTGATCCTGCCTCTTAAAAGCCATCTCACACAACTCCCATCCATCCTCTCGCCACTCTAGACTATTGCCCTAGTCTTAGTCTCAGCAATGTGACTCACCCTTCAGAGTTTAGCTGGTCAACTTCCCCTCACCTGGCTTTCATCTCTAATATAAGACAAACTATCAAGATCGGGGAGGGAAGGAACCGCAGGGAGTGTCTGATACTCCATATTTTAACATGGGTTTTAAGAGGGGCATGGAAGATTCATTTCACAAGAAAAACAATAATGACAAAACTAGCCAATACAAATCCTAAGCCTACCACTCAATTCTTTCTTCACTTTCTATCCTGTTTTATTCTGTCAGAGCCATAATGCTTAGGACCTCGGGAATGCTAAACAAGGGCCCCACCACTGAGCTACATGCCTAGACCAGTCCTCCTTGTTTCACTCAACATCACACACCACCAAATATACCAAGTAGCAGATTTCTAATAATATCCCTTTCCCTCAACGTGTCTTCCATATTCCTACAATGGTTCCTTTCCTAGATTAATGCCAGATAAGAGATGGGAACACCTTCAATCCAACACCCAGGAAGAGGCAAGAGGATCTCCTTGTAGTGCTCACAAAACCCACTGCACCGCCTATGCCTTTCTTCCCACAAATGCCTACTGGCTGCACTGTCACATCTGTTTCTGACATCATGCTAAATGAGGGGAGGAGCTGTGTGCCTCATGAGGGGTATGTCACCAAGAACATAGAACATGGCATATCTCCAAGTCAACAAAATTGAAGAAACTGTGTCTATGTAGTTCTTATTTAAATATTTAAAAAGGGTAGCTGAACATTTAATGACTACTGATATTTATTTTCTCTATTTAGAAAGTATACTTGAAAACAGAACAAAGCAATATAACAAAATTTTCCCCAACACAATACCAACAGTACCCATGTTAAAGGTGCTTAAAAAAATGAATAAATAAAGGTGCTTAAGTACTGCTTAGCTAATGGGATGCTTGTTAGCAGCACAGTCTATCCTCAGTGCCACACAAACCAGCAGAGGTGGCACACACCCGTACTGTGGCACAAGAAAGGTAGAGGCAAGAAGAGCATAAATTCAAGGTCCTCAACTTCTGAGGTTGGTTTGGGATACATAACCCCTACAAAATAAATACATTTAAAGAAAAAAAAAAGGAAGGAAGGAAGAAATAAAGAGAAAGAAAGGAAAATAGTAAAGCAGGCAGGCAGGCAAAAACCAGGGCTAGTCATGCATACCCGACCACTACAAAATTGAATGTATATGTATCTTAGGTTATACTTTACATGGACCACACTTAACATTATTTCATATGTCAGTGGCTCTTAATTAGGAGCAACTCTGTCCAACAGAGACCATGTGGCAGTACCTGGAGACCTTTTAGTTATCACAATCAAGCTAAGGGAAGTGATACTACTAGGGTCTAGTGATAGCCAACAGGCACCCCCAGTCCACAAGGGATTTCTCCTCACTGCAGAAAAAAAATACCAGTCACAAATGGCAATGCTGCCGAGGGTGAGAAAAGTCTACTTTAAGCCTGACATGGTGGTGCAGGCATAAAGTTCAGAACCTAAGTCCAGAAGACAAGATCAGTAATTCAATGCCACACAGCTAGCTACAAAGAGAATGGGAGGCCAGAGACTTGATGACTTTGTTTTATAACAGAGGTATATGAGCCAGGTGGTGGTGGCGCACAGCTTTAACCCCAGCACTTGGGAGGCAGAGGCAGGCGGATCTCTGAGTTCGAGGCTAGCCTGGTCTACAAGAGCTAGTTCCAGGACAGGCTCCAAAGCTACAGAGAAACCCTGTCTCAAAGCCTCCCCCCCCCCCCAAAAAAAAACCCAGAGGTATATGCGTATGTCTGTGATCTAATTTATGTTAATTCTGACTGGCATGTTTTCAAATACAAAGCCACCAGTCTCATAGGATGCATAGAAGGTAAATGTAAATTATGGCAAGGGGAAATTGAGGTGGTTTTATGCAAAGATTCCACTGCCGTGCAAGAAAAAATATCTTTTGTATGGTCTATGGAACTTTACAAGCTAGCACTTGACTTTGTATATTTGAAATACATTAGTAATACCTTTGTCCAGCACCTCAGTTTGTTTAGTAGCAGCACAGCAGTGTATACAGTAACCACTCAGGCAGAGCCAGATGCATTTGCAGGACTTTCTAAGTTATGGCTTAGAAGATACAAACTCGGATACTTCCACAATAATTTAGGAGGCAGAAGCTGAGGAAATGCACATGAGATCCTTCAGTTCTACACAGAACAAGTTTACATTTATTTATCTATCTATTTATAAATTTATTTATTTTTGGTAAGGAATTTACTTAATGGGTATTGGGAAGGGTATAAAGGTAAGGGGTTATGGGGAGAAGAGAGAAAGAGACGGGGGGGCAGAGAAAAAGAGGAAAGAGGATAGGGGAAGGGAGAGGCAGAGGCTGCCTCTTTAGAAGAATGGACAGAGAGAGCAGAACAAGTTTGTTCTTAGATTTCCAACTCCATGAAGGGAAACAATCTCCTCTAGGTTAATTTCTCTCTCTCTCTCTCTCTCTCTCTCTCTCTCTCTCCCTCTCCCTCTCCCTCTCCGCCTCCCTCCCTTCTTCCCTCCCTTTCCTTTCTTCCTTCCTTTCTTTCTTGGGGGGTAGGGTTCAAGACAGGGTTTCTCTGTAGCTTTGGAGCCTGTCCTGGAACTTACTCTGTAGTCAGGCTGGCCTCAAACTCAGATTGGCCTGCCTCTGCCTCCCGAGTGCTGGGATGCTTCTTTAGGTTAATTTCTAATTTAACTGAGAGTCTAGTAAACAATATTAGTTGGACGGGCTAGAGAGATGGCTCAGAGGCTAGAGCATTGCCTTTACCAGAGTTTAATTCCCAGCAACCATCTGTAATGAGGTCTTGTGCCCTCTTTGGCCTGCAGACATACACACAGACAGAATATTGTACACATAATAAATAAATAAATAAATAAATAAATATTTAAAAATATATTAGTTGGAGCTGGGCGGTGGTGGCATACGTCTTTAATCCCAGCACTCAGGAGGATCTCTGAGTTCTAAACCAGCCTGGGCTACTGAGTGAGTTCCAGAACAGGCTCCAAAGCTCCAGAGAAACCCTGTCTTGAAACATAGCCCCCCCCCCAAGTTAGTATGAAATTCCTTAAATTGATGATGCCCAAAGCATACAACACACTGTTTTTTTTTTCTTATCTGTGGAGACAGCTTACAAAGAATGTCAAGTATGTCTGTACTTTTTCAGTTCATGTAAGCTCTACCTCAGGATAATCCAAAGTCTAATGAACTTCAGTTAGAAATTCAAGATGGATGAGAGAAGTATCATTAACTCACAAGCCCTAGTGAATGGCTGGATCTGGGACTACAGTACAGTCCTCAAATGGCAGCTACAACACACAAGGAAGGAGCTATAAGATGCATATGGTATGCACATAACAAGGGGGGTAGATACAGAGTCTCACATAGCTCAAGATGACCTTGAGTTTCTGATCCTCCTGCCTCAGTTTCCCAAGTGTTGGAATTAAAGGTGTGTGCCATAAACAGCTAATGCTCAACACAATGAGAGGTGACATGACGCCATCTTCACCATTCACAACACAGCACAGACTGGGGGTGGGGGACCTTACAGTCTGTGACTATAGCAATTGAGAGACTGAGGAAGGGTGACTGTGATTGTTCCAGGCTTCCTGGAACTCTCACAGCAGAATTTTAAAAATGTGACTAACAAAAGACACAAAAGAAATAAACTTAAGGCAAAAAGACAAAAACAGCCAGGTAGGAGGAGGCAGAGGCAGGCAGTGAGTTCAAGGCCAACCTGGTCTACAAGAGCTAGTTCCAGGACAAGCTCCAAAAGCTCCAGAGAAACCCTGTCTTGAAAAACAAAACAAAACAAAACAAACAAACAAACAAACAAAAAAGGCAGAAGCAGTAATAACAGCTATGACCAGGAGCAGGGAGTTAGCAGCATGCTGCTTCTACACAGTAACAACATGGCAGCTCAGTCACCTAGAACACAGTTCCAGGAGGTTCAACACCCTCTTCAGTCCTTGGTGTACATACATATGAACAGGGAAACAAATATATGAAAATGAATTTTTAAAAAGTAAAATAAATAAATGGGAGTGGGAGAGATGGAAAAGTCTATTGTTAAGAGTGCTTGCTATGAGACTATCTAAAAAACAAAGCAGAATTAAAAGTAGTGCACAAATTTAAAATCTCTCCATTCAAGGCCAGTGTAGCTTACAGAGTGAGTTCCAGATAGCCAAGGCTATACAGAGAAACACTGTCTCGGGGGTGGGGGTGGGGAATCAAAACAAAAATCCTCCAGCTCCGTGGAATCCGACACCCTTTTTTTGGCCTCTTCAAGTAACTGCGAGCATGCACCCACCCACCCTACACAATTTTGGGATCTGAAGAAATGGCTCAGAAGTTAGAGCCTTTTATTGCTCTTCTGAAAAGACTCAAGTTCAGTCCAGTCCTCCTCAGCACCCATGTTGGGCCGCTTATTATGAATGGGCAAATAAACATAAATGGCTTTAAAAAAAAAAACAAAAAAACAAAAAAACCAAACCAACCAAAAGCCCCTAAAACAAAAACATCCGAGTAATCCCCATGCCTCGTATAATTTCATTACAGAGAAAATCTAAACTGGGCCTAGTGCTGACCAAATGTAACTCTAGGACTTGGAAAGTAGAGACAGAAGGAACATAAGTTCAAAGTCATCTTAAACTTCAATGTTAGTTCAAAGCCAGTGTGGACTTCATGAGACTATCTCAAAAATTAAAAAGAAGAGTGTAGGAAAGTGGCTCCGTCTATAAAATAGCTGTTGTACAAACATTAGGACCTGATATCAGATCTATAGCACCATGGAAAAGGCTGTCTATAATCCTAGAAATGGAGCCAGGAGAATCTTTCGGGCTTGCTGGCTAGCCAGTGTAGCCAAATCAAGAATTCTAGATTCAATTAGAGACTGTCTCAAAAATATGGTGGTCATACACTTCGATTACATAATAAAGAAATCAAGTTCTGATTTAGCCAGATGTTTCCTCCCTTGTAGTTAGTGTGGAAGTTTGATTGAGAATGGTCCCATATGCTCATGTACTTAGATGCTTGGTCCCCAGTTGGTATTCAGTTTGGGATGAATTGGGAGGTAAGTCCTCATTCGAGAAATCTCACTGTTGTTGGACTTTGAGGGTTCAAAAGCCCAGCCTCAGAGTCAGTCAGTCTCAGTGTCTCCCCCCCACCTCTCTCTCTCCCTCTCCCTCCCTCCCTCTCCCTCCCTCCCTCCCTCCCTCCCTACCTCTCTCTCTCTCTGTGGCAACCTACATAAAGGACCTGGAGGAAGGAAGTTTTTGCTTTCTGCCTGCTTGCCATCACTCTTGGATAGCAAATTTTATCTGTCCTCTAGCTGAGGCATTCCCTGTCTAGTGTAAGAATCTACTTCTGGATTCCAACAGACTGAAGATCAGCTGCTCCAGGAGTCCTCTGGGGCTGCAAAGCCATCTGGTCTTGGGGATTAAACAACTAGCTTTTTCTTGGGAGACAGCCTTGTTGGACTACCTGGACCATAGTCTGTAAGTCACTCTAATGTCCTTCTGTGTGTGTGTGTGTGTCCTTTGCAAACAACCTAAGGTCAACAGCTACTGTCAGTGATCAAAATAAAATATAAAATAACAAACATGTGGATGTACGCAGACAGCACTTATTGTTACACTAGGTCAACATTTAATACGTTTTAGCACTCAAAATCTCAGTTAAGAAACTAAGAGGGCGGGAGGCAGAGGCAGGCGGATCTCTGTGAGTTCGAGACCAGCCTGGTCTACAAGAGCTAGTTCCAGGACAGGCTCCAAAGCTGCAAAGAAACCCTGTCTCGAAAAACCAAAAAAAAAAAAAAAAGAAAGAAAAAAGAAACTAAGAAGGGGTAATGAGATGGCTCAGAGGGAAAAGCACTTGCTGTGCCAAGTGTGCAGGGCTTAGTGAACACTTAAGTTCACATAATTGGATGGGAAGCAATCTGGAATTACATCTAGCACAGCAGAAAAACAAAGAAGATGCCTTGCCAAACCAAGTTTGACCTTGATTAAGGCATGTGCGTGTACACGTACGTATGTACACACACACACTCCACACACACATACACACACACTCACACACATCTCAGTAAACATTTTAAAGTGGTGGCTGGAGAGCTGGTTCAGTGTTATGAGAATGGTTACCCTTCCAGAGGACCTGGGTTAGATCCCCAGAACCCACATGACAGCTCACAACTATCTCAACTCCAGTCCCAAGAGGATCTGATGCCTTCTTCTGGCCTCTGCAGGTACTACATACACATAAGCACAAAGACATACATGTAGATAAAATATTCATACACATAAAATAAAAACAAAGGTTAAAAATTTAAAAGTAAAAGGTTATTCTTAATTGGAAACACCAATATTAATTCCTTTTTTGGGGGGGAGGGGTGTATTTTTCGAGACAGGGCTTCTCTGTGTATCCCTGGCTCTCTAGGAATTCACTCTGTGGACCAGACCTGCCTGTCTCTTCCTCCCAAGCGCTGGAATTAAAGGTGTGCACCATCACTGCCTATTTTCAGTATTAGTTTTCTAATCTAGTTTTTGTGGTATTTCCCAGTTTTATTCACTAAAAAGAGCAACAGGCAGTGACTTACTAGTGAACATACCTAATGACTAGGAATCAGGCCTGTACCTTAAATCCCAGCACTTAGGAGGTAGAGGAAAGTGGATTTCTGTGAGTTGGAGGATAGCCTGATCTACAGAGTGAGTTCCAGGACGGCAGGGGCTAAATGGTGAGACCCTGTCTTAGAAAAAGAGATAAACAAAAAACAAAACCACAACAATCAGGTTTCCAGGAGAAAGGCACAGGCAGGCTCGCCAGAGTTCTGTGAATTTCAGCTGCTGGGAGGCAATTGAGCATTTTAACCCTATAATGGGGTTGCGCTGGCTGAAGGGTCCCTCAGTCAAAGATGGGACAAGAACAAAAAAGTAACTGATATAAATATACATGTTTTCACGGATTTTTTTTGTTTCTGTTTTTTTTTTTTTTTTTTTTTTTTTTTTGAGACAGAGTTTCTCTGTGTAACAGCCTTAGCTGTTCTGGAACTCGCTCTCTAGTCCAGGCTGACCTTGAACTCACAGAAATCCACCTGCCTCTGCCTCCAGAGTGCTGGGATTAAAGGTGTGCGCCACCACTGCATGGTAGCAGAATATTTTTTAAATGAAAAAACAAAAACAGAAAAAGGACAGTTAGTCCAATAATAGGACTGCCAAAGGAGAATGAGTTACACGCTCTTAGAGAAACAGCAGTGAAGCTGCAAGGAGCACAGTGGGAAGCAGAACTGAGTGTGCCAATTCTTGTTTTTTTTGAAAACCGAAGGGAAAAGTTTTTCTGCATCCCTGTACCAAGTATCTGAGGCTAAAGACTTTACTGCCCAGGTTCGCAGAGAATGACTCCATCTAATAAGGAACAAGAATCCATATGCATTCAGAAGCCCCTATTGTGCACAACACCGATGGCTTCCTGGGAACTGGTTCTTACTTTGCACTACAAGTGGCAATCCAAAGTCATGCTGCAAACTACTGTACGCAGGTCAGAGCACTGGCATTTCTGCTAAGCAGCTCTCTCCTACATGCTTCAGATACACACTGAACCTTGAGAGCTAAGACTAGACTGAGTGATGTAAAGGACCAATCCACAGCTAATTAGAACAAGTGGGAATGCTTACAATGAGATGGGGTAGAGGGGACGGGGGGGGGGGGGGGGCTGAGTGTCAGACACTGACATGAAACATCTGATTCCTCCTTAAGGAAAGCACTGATTTTGCCAGTGACCAGAGAACTGGCACACTAAATTAATAGCAGTTTCAAATAAAAGCAGCAAGAAGAGAAGGGCAGGGAACTACAGAGATATAACATGCAGTAACCTGATGATATTATGATCCATTTCCAAAACAAGTCAGCTGTAGAAGTGCATGCCTGACTCAACCAGGACCAGTTGGATTACATATGTTAACAGGGAGCTATTATTTACAAATACATAAATTAAGGAAAGACAAAGGTGCCCTGGCTGCTTAAGGAAGTTGAATAAGCTTTAGAGTGTACAACACCTGAGTGATGGGGTGCCATGATGATGGCATTTATTTTTAATCTTCAGCAACAACAACAAAAAACTACATGTGTTTATGACAAAATTCTGTTACCAACAGAAACTGAACGAAGGATAAACACTAGTCCTTAATGACTTCCACCTCCATGACAACTCCTGTTCATCTCTGTCATCCTACCGGTTGGAGATGACCTTAACTTGGCTTCCTGGGCTATTCTGAAATTCAAGATCCTGCCTCAGCCCTGTGAGTGCCACATGTAACATCATGATACCACCAACACAATAATCCACACACAGTAATAACCCACAAACAAAATAATCTCTTCTAAAACTTCAATTATACTTCGGGTTGAAATTTTCAAAATTAATTCTTTGGGAAAAATTACCGAACAGGCTCATCAGTTCGGAGCATCTGATGCTCATACAGAGGATCAGGGTTCAGTTCCTTGTGTGCAAATGGCAGTTCACAACTGTCTGTGACAACAGTTCTAGGAGTTCTGTTGCCCTCTCTGGCTTCCATGCACCCATACAGTGCAAGTACAAACACAGTCAAAACATTCATATACATAAAACAAAATATATAAATATTTTGATGTGCATGAGTGTTTTTGCCTGATGTATGTCTGTGTACCCTGTGTATACCTGGTATGCATGGAAGCCAGAAGAGGGCATTAGATCCCTTGAGATCTAATTACAGGTAGTTTGTGAGGCAACATGTCAGTGCTGAGTATCAAACATGAGTTCACTGCAAGAGCAACAAGCAAGCACTCTTAACCAATGATTCAACTCTCCAGGCCTCAAAATACGTCTTTTTTTTTTTTTTTTTGGTTTTTCGAGACAGGGTTTCTCTGTGGTTTTGGAGCCTGTCCTGGAACTAGCTCTGTAGACCAGGCTGGTCTCGAACTCACAGAGATCCGCCTGCCTCTGCCTCCCGAGTGCTGGGATTAAAGGCGTGCGCCACCATCGCCCGGCAAAATACGTCTTTTAAAAAAAGGCCAGGTATGGTAGTGCATACCTTTAATCCTAACACTTGGGAGGCAGGTGGATTAATATGTGTCCAAGATACTGTGGCCAAACCTGATGACCCAAGTTTGATCCTCAGAACCCATAGGGTGGAATTCCTACAGGGTTTTTTTAACCTACAGACAGACAGACACACACACACACACACACACACACACAGAGAGAGAGAGAGAGAGAGAGAGAGAGAGAGAGAGAGACAGACAGACACACGGAGGGAGGGAGGGAGGAGGAGAGAGAGATTTTGCACATGATTATTATCGAATTCCTGTTCATCAAGACCTGAATGCTCATATTGGCCACCAAAAGTGAACACACACCCTATGAGGTTCAGGCAGAAACTCAGAGAAGCCAACTATTAGCCAGGCAATGATGGCATAGGCCTTTAATCCCAGCACTTGGGAGGCAAAGGCAGTACATCTCTGTGAGTCTGAGGCCAGGCTGGTCTATATAAAGCTTCTTCCAGGAAAGGAGAGTAAGGGCAGAGAAAACCTGTCTCAAACAACCACCACCACTCCCCCCCAAAAAAGAAAAAAGAAGCCAACTATTCTTTGCACACTGGTGCTTAATACATGCAGCATGCAGACTACAAGCAAACACAGGCAGGGTTATTCTCACCTTTACCTGCTCTATATGTCTTGGCTTGGTTCACTGGCATGGGCGTCATAGGTATTGGGTATAAAGGCTTGAACGGATTGAAAACACAGCATTAGAATCATGATAACAATGTATTTTATCACTGTCTTTTAATGTGATCTTGCCTGTATTTTCCTGACTCCTTATGAGTTATCCAAAATTAAAATAATACAACTAAAAAGAGTAATTCTAGTATAATAGTAAATGCGAGCCATTTTTCTGTAAATAAATCCTTAGACTCAGATTCACATGCTAATGATACACCAAATTCCTACCCACCCCTCTGTAGCCCTATCTGCCAACAGGTGTCCACTTAGTGCAGATCTAGGATATGCATGTGAAACACAAACTATGGTGACCCAACAAATTCTAACCCATGGGACTTACCTGCACGCCTGGGCTCACTGGTACCGGATACATCATATTTGGTGCAAAACAAACAGGCTGTGTATACACTGGAGCTGGCTGCTGATGACCCACCATTGATGGGCTCGGCTGTGCTTGTGGCCGAGGTGACGTTGGGGTAGTAGAAGGTTTTGGCTACCAAAACAGAAATAAAATTCAACTATTTCACAGTGAAAGTAACTAGGAATGCAATCTTTAGAACAATTTCCCCAATCTTTCTATTGATTTGTTTCTAACCAGTACCTTTTATTCAAAAGACAAAACGAAACAACCCGGAGTCTAGCATGTAAGAAGTTGATTCAATATCCAGGGGGTAGGCCGCAGACATTGCTCAGAAGTAGAGGACTGGCATAAGCGTGGTATATTCCCCAGAAACATCACCATCACTATCCTCTCTCCCACTCCTCCTCCCACAAATCTCTATATAAAGAGTGTGTATGCGTGAGACAAATTTTTATTTTCATTCTTTGAGACAAGAGTTTCTCTGTGTAACTCTGGCTGTTCTGGGATTCATTCTTTAGGCCAGACTGGACTTGAACTCAGATATCCACCCACATCTCTTCTTCCCAAATGCTGGAGTTAATGGTGTGCACTATCATGGCTCGCTACACACACACACACACACACACACACACACACACACACGGAGGGAGGGAGGGAGGGAGGGAGGGAGGGAGGGAGGGAGATGTAATTTTACAAGGAACCAGAAAAGGTCTATCCATTTTTTTAGTCTTTTCATTTTTGTGTTTTTGGACAGGACCTCACTGCGTGGCCCACACTAGCCACACTCATGATCCTTCAGCTCCAGTCTCCTGACAGTTGGGATTGGCAGGCTTGCTTTACCACACCTCCCTAAGGAAATGAGTGGAACAATAGGCATCTTTGAGTCTGGCAGCCTCACTCATCATCAACCTTACGTTCTCAGCTGGTCTTTACATTCACCATTCTAATGGCTGCACAATACAGTGACAACCCACAAGGAAAACAATTTGTCTTTGGTATCCCACAGCTGGGTTTAGTTAAATGGGAGCACAGGAGAAAAACCATGCCTGATCACAATGAAATCTCTTCAGAAATGATCTACAAATGGCCATAAATTTACCTGAGAAAAAGAACGCGGGTTGAACTCCTTTGCATTGGGATTCAATGTTGATTTTCTAACTTGCCTAAATGAGGAAAGAGAAAAACAGCCAGTGAAGCCTGCATTGAATCCATGTTTTCTTCAATTCTACCACACTGGTCAGGTTTCCCTGAATTGCTGACATAGTTAAGATAAAGGACTCTGTACAGCGCTGTGGGTCTCCCTCACTGACACTCACCTGCTCTTCAGTTTGACAGACACTAGTGGAACAAGAACAAACAATCAACGAAACCACACCCTCAAAGGCAATTAGGAATATTTCAACTGCAAAGACAGTAACCCCAAAGAAAACACCCTTTAAAAAGGTGTCTAATGGGGCTACTCTTGCACAGGACTGGGGTTCAATCCACCCATCCGTAACTACAATTCCAGAACATCTGACACCATCTTCTGGCCTCTGAAGGTACCGTGTGCATGTAGTGTTCAGATGGACATGCAAGCAAAACACTCACACACATAAAATAAAAAACCCAATGCTTAATACATGATTCCACAGCATTTCTAACTCCTGTTTTTAAACATAGGGCTTTCAATGTAGCCCAGGTTGGCCTCCAACTTGGGACCCACTGCCTCAGCATCCCAACTGCTGTGCTAAGAAAGTCTGTGCCACCATGTGCCACACATACAATAACTTTTAGCTGTGTCGAGATTTTTGTTTGTTTTTGTGGGACAGGTTTCTCTGTAGCTTTGGAGCCTGTTCTGTAATTTCTTCTGTAGATCAGGCTAGCCTCAAACTCACAGAGATCCCTGTCTCTACCTTCTGAGTGCTGGGATTAAAGGTATGCACCACCACTGCCCAGCAAAGGATTTCTTTTTCCTTTTGGTTTTTCAAGACAGGGTTTCTCGGGGGCTGGAGAGATGGCTCAGAGGTTAAGAGCACTGACTGCTCTTCTAGAGGTCCTGCGTTCAATTCCCAGCAACCACATGGTGGCTCACAACCATCTATAGTGAGATCTGGTGCCCTCTTCTGGTATTCAGGTAGAATACTGTACACATAAACAAACAAATAAATAAATAAAAGGGGGGAAAGAAAGACGGGGTTTCTTTGTGTAACAGTTTCAGGTATCCTGGAACTAGCTCTGTAGACCACGGTGGCCTTGAACTCACAGAAATCTGACACCTCTGCCTCCCCCCTCCCCTGCCCCCATGATGGAACTAAAGGTGTGTGCCACCACCGCCCAATTTGTGTCAATATTTTTTTAATTACACACCTTGGGAAAAGCCATTGCTCTAATAATTTATTTTAACTGCATATCAAACATGAACAGTTAATCAACAACCTGCCGTTCTAAAAGTTCAAATACAATTAGGTTTTTTGTTTTCCAGAACACAAAAAGCCCACTAGGTCTATTAAATTGTTTTTAATATGCCAGATGCATAGAATTAAGTTTTATAAAGAAATGTATACTAAATAAACATTTGTTTCTGACAGAAAATGCCTTGCAAGCATGGATACCAGTGCTGTACTCCCTTTCTCACCAAGGGCAGCAAACAGTTCTTGCAGATAGCAGAGTTAGGCACAACTAGAGTCCCAAATAGGGCTTTCCAACTTTAACTTTGAATTTCTATGTCTCTACAGAAGTAGCTTTTCTCACCCCACACAGTTGGGTGCAAATTAGAATGCTAAGAATTCAATGATGAGATTCAGTGAGGATTTACTAAGCCAGCTCTTAGTAACAACTACTTTGAAAATTCTGTCAGCTTGCAGACAACTGTAAGTGGAAGGAGAAATCCCTTAAGTCAAGATTTACTTGGAGAGAGGATGTGCTAAATCCCAGGTTACTCACTCAGTTGCATCTTTTTTCTCTTCTCGGTCATCCTTCTCTTGTTTGCAGGCTGGACTAGAAGTCTGCACCCCTTGGGATGTGACCTCAGGCCCCCTCTTATGCTCTGTGTTACTAAGTACAGAAGGGGAGATGCTAGGGCTGTTGGTCTTGCTGCTGCCACTGGTACAGTTGCTGCTGCTGTTGTCAATGAAAGCATCCTTAGCACTTGCTTCAATTTTGTCTTTAATCAAATCTCGTGACTTTTCTCCCTCTCTATTTTTGCTTAGAAGTTGATCCATAGATTCAGATGTAGAACTTGGCTGTAACTAAATAAAAGAAATAATTTCCTGTGAGTATAAGCAAAGCAGTATCTGAAGAAGAGAATGAAATGCTTTGAATAAGGCTTTTTGTTCTTATTTTCAGAAGATGGCCTTTTGCTTTTTGAGACCAGGTCTCTCTACATAGCCCTAGTTGTTCTGGAACTCTGTAGATCAGATGGCTTGCTTCATACTCAATGAGACCTGCCTTCCTCTGCCTTCTGAGTGTTGGAAGTAAAGGCCACCAAGCCTGGTTCAGAATACAGCTTTTTAAAAGCATCAATAACAGAATGATATAACACAACTTTAGTAATCAGAACCCAAAACTTAAGAGTTAATTATGAGCTGGGCTGAGCATAGTGACATAAACCTTTTGTTTGTTTTGTTTTTTTATGTATACAATATTCTGTCTATGTGTATTCCTGCAGGCCAGAAGAGGGCACAAGATCCCATTACAGATGGTTGTGAGCCACCATGTGGTTGCTGGGAATTGAACTCAGGACCTTTGGAAGAGCAGGCAATGCTCTTAACCTCTGAGCCATCTCTCCAGCCCTGTTTGTTTGTTTTGTTTTTGTTTTTTGAGACAAAGTTTCTCTGTAGCTTTGGAGTCTGTCTTGGAACTAGCTCTTGTAGACCAGGCTGGTCTTGAACTCACAGAGATCTGCCTGCCTCTGCCTCCCTAGGACTGGTATTAAAGGTGTGCGCCACCACTGCCCCTGAGTGACATAGCACTCAGGAAGCAGAAGCAGGTTTGGGAATTTTAGGCTTACACAGTGAGTTCTTAGTCTACATAGTAAACTCCAGGACAGCAGGGCTATGTAGAGAGATCATGTCCTAACCCTCCACACATATTAGCTGAGTATGGTGGCTCATGCCTATAATTTCAGAACTTGGGAGGCAGAGGCAGGCAGATCTCTGAATTTGAGGTCAGCCTGGTGTATAGAGCGAGATCCAGGACAGTCAGGATTATTCTGAGAAAACCATGTCTTCAAAAACAAACAAAAAGATTAATTTACTTATTTAATGCAGGGGGAGTTATCAGAGGACAACTTCTAGAAGTCAGTTCCCTCCTCCCATCATGTGGATCCTAGAAATTGAACTGAGATCACCAGACTTGGTGGAAGGTTCCTTAATTCCATAAGGCTACTCTAAAGTTTTAAAGTTCGGTCAAGGATAAACAGCAATAATGTAAACAAGAAAAACAAAACAAAAAACAAAAAAAGGAGGATAGTCAACATCATTAGCCATAAAAAAGCTCTGAATAGCAAAACTACAGTGAGACACCACTCCATATCCATAGATGACATAGACCACAATCAAAAACATGAACTCCAGCACCTAAAAGAGGAGAAACGGCTGCCCCGCACATGGCCAGATAACACACACCTGCGATACTGGCACTTGAAAGGCTGAGGCAGGAGACTGAGTATTTCGGGGAGCTGGTTCCTGTCTCAAAACCAAACCCAAAATAAAAATAAAAGGGATTTTCTGGCTGCTGCTAATGGAGTGTACAATAGTGACCGTGTACCTGCCATGGTAAAATGACTGGTAACTTTACTCACTACCACAGGACACAGAGTTCTCAATCCTAGAAAAATGATAACGTATATTCATAAGAAACCATACTTCAATGTTCACGGTAGCATTTCTCATCCTTGTAAGAAAGTAAGAAAAACCCATAGCCACTGAGCATTATTCACAACAAAACAAAGCAGTGCTGTACATGCCAACATGCACTGTGTGTCTCAAACAACCAATCATTAAATAGACTAATAAAACGGGCTGTTCTCAAAAGATTTAATACAAATGTTCAAGATCACCAGCTATGAAAGAAATCTGAATTAAGAAAGACAGATGAGTCATTAAAAGTGTGAAGTCGTCCTGAAGAGGACCCAGTTTAGTTGCGTGCTGCACACAACACCTGTGACTTCAGTACCGAGGGACCGAAAGCCTCTGACCTCCCCAGTTACACACAATTAAATTAAATTTAAAGAAAAAGATTTTTGTTTGTCTAGAGTCTCAATATGCAGTTCTGGTTGTTCTGAATCTCACTTTTAGACCAGGATAGCCTAAAATTCAGAGATCTGCCTCTAGAGTGCTAAGATTAAGACATGTGCCACTAGGTCCAACTAAAAACAAAACAACATGAAAATTTAAATATACACACTCTATCTTAACCCAGTCAGAATGGCAGAAACAAATAGCAAATGCTGGTGAGGTTGTGGGAAAAGCAGAATCCTTACACTATGCTGGTGGGAACATAAACTAGTCCAATCTCCAAGACTGAAATATATAGTGGGGCTGGAGGGCTGGCTCAGTGGTTAAGAGTATCTCTGAATTTGAGGCCATCCTGGTCTAAAAGTGAGATTCAGGACACCCAGAGCTGTATGGACCCCAGAACCCATACCAGGAAGCTTTCAACCAGCTCTAGAAGATTATCACACTCTTGGACTTTAGGGGCACCTGCATTCGTGAGTTCCAGCACACAGACAGATACACATACACAATTAAAAATAATAAACACCAACTGTATAGAACTATCAAAGGTTAAAGGTTACATTTTAAATGTAACTTGGTTTCTGTAAGTTTTGTGTGGGAGAATGAAAAAGTCACGAAATGCTCTGGATACACTAGGAAAGCTTGACTTAGGGTAAGAAGAAATTACATTACAGGAAGACTCTCGCCATTGGGGCTGGATGTGGAGCACAGTGGTTACAGCCCTGGGTTCAAATCTCAGCACCAGCAATATGAATGAACAAGTGAATGAATTTTACACAATTACTATACTTGTTCACAAAGTAGATCTGAACCAGCTCAGAACACCAGGAGCATTATAACTTCCATGCACACCAGAAGTATTGACATACCCTTACTCTCAACTACAAACCTACTGAGGCAGTCACTCAGACAGACACCAAAGCAGTGAGCTTTAGCGTGTTGTTTTGCACTGTAAGATAATATTCTTTCATTTGTTACCTGTAGCCTTAAAAACAAAACAAAACAAAAAAACTTGTGATTTAAGTTACTGCACTTAGAACAAAGACATCTTTAAGAGTAATTGTCAAGGGACTAGTGAGATGGCTCAGTGGTTAACAATGCTTACTGCTCTTTCACAGGATCCAAGTTCAACTTCTAACACCCATATCAGGCACCTCACCATCACCTTAACCCAAGTTCCAAGTGCGGACAACCTCTTCTGGCCTCATAGGACTCCTGAACTTACCCACCAAGAGACAGACAGAAAGACAGACACTTGCTCTCTGTCTTTCTCTTAAAATAAATCCGGTGGAGCTGGGCGGTGGTGGCGCACGCCTTTAATCCCAGCACTTGGGAGGCAGAGGCAGGAAGATCTTTGTGAGTTCGGGGCCAGCTTGGTCTACAAGAGCTAGTTCCAGGACAAAGAATCCCTGTCTTGAAAAACAAACAAACAAGTAAACAAACAAACAAAATCCAGTGGGCTGGAAAAATACATTAGCAGTTAAGAGTTCAGTTCCCAGCACTTATATGATGGCTTATGGTCACCTGCAACTCTATCTCCAGGCAATCTGTAGCTTATTCTGGTCTCCAAGGACAGTAAAAATGCTCGTGGCCCACATATATAATGCAAATACTCATATGCATAAAAATCTTTACAAAAAAGTTTAATTTTCTGCACATGTGACTTAAGGCTGATTGTGTGTGTGTGTGTGTGTGTGTGTGTGTGTGTGTTAAAACTGTATTTTGTGAACTGGTCATATAAAAATTACTATTTTCTTTTTTAATTCTAACCAATCAGTTGATAGGAAACTTACCCTAAAATCATTCTTAAACTTCTTTAAATCATCAATCTGTTTTCTATGTTCAGAAACAACTGGTGACATACCTGTAAAACCAAAACCTGTTAGATTCCAATTTACTTCTGACCTTAAACTTAAAATTCTGTTTGTATGGGATATTAGAAATAGAGTACAGAGGCTAGATGTGGCAGCACACTCCTTTAATGCCTTTAATCCCATGTGGGGTAAGAGAGATAAGTAAGAAATGAGAACAGCTCTATCACCGGAAGACTAATGGATATTTCAAATACCCATTCCGCTTGGTATCTAATAGCACGTACATTACATATAAACAAATTTTAGAAGGAGGGCACTCAGTATGGAGCATGAAATTAGTTAGATAAACACTGTTCTATCTCTGTAATTACACCTAAAAAATTTAACAAACTCTAACCTTTGTTTTCAACTTTTGAAAAGCTAGGTGATGTTTCATTTGCTTTAATAGTTTCCTTATTCCCTGCAGGAGAGTTCTGCCTCTGATCTTGAAGCCTGGACTCTTTAGCTAGAAAACAAGTTAAAAAAGAAAACATCATCAGGCAGACGTTAGGAAAACATCATGAGAAAACGCCAAATACTTGCAATTTTCTGGTTTGGGAAAAAAAATAGTTTCATTTAAACAAAGGGTTTTCCCTGTTAATCATCACACCAAAACTCAGCAAGCATGTTCATACAACAGGCATGTCACACCAGAGCAAGTCAGAACCTCTGATATCAGACATTAAATAATATAACTATATAAATGGGACAGTACTATCATAGATAGCTATCTTGCTTCCAAAAAACACCACTGTATATTCAGAAGCTCTTGATCATACGGTGTTAGAATAGGAAAAGACCTTCATTTCGTACCCTCAATAGATGGGGTCAGAGCTCTGTTGGATGCAGGGCTGGCAGGAGTAGGAGATGCAGCTGGAACAGGCATGGAAACTGCTTCAGTAGGGATGATACCAGCTTGGGGAGAAGCAAGCACAGGCCCACTGGGAGTGTTTCCAATACTGTTCTGCCTGGGAGACCTGGGTCTGTGAGTTTTTGGAGATAACCTTGGAACTAAAAGCAAAGAGATATTCATTAAATTCTCAGAAATCACTAATACCTAAGTACTGATGTGGTTTTTCCCTCCTAACTAAACTTTCAAGTACTTTAAGTACAGCTCAACACCAGAGTTCAGTGGCAAGCCAAATTACACCAAGGGGAAAACATAGTACTAAGTTACTTGTTAAGGTGAGAGAGAGAGACCCCTATTTCTACCTGCCTCTTCCCATCAACACAGTAAGTAAAATCCCTTTGGTAGATGTTGCCCAGACTATGTGCTCTTTCCTGCAACATCAAGATCCAGTGCCAATGCTGAGGGAAATTAGGACACAAAGCATAAAGGGTATCTAATACAGAAATAATGAATGACTTCAAAATAACTGCTTATTTACAGAGTTCAGACTCAAGAGACTAATGAAAATGGTTCAGTTTGCATTACTTTGGTGACTTCTTTGTGAAGTCACAAGCATCACAGAAGTATTCACTACTCTAACATGATTCTCAGTGTATCCCTTGCAGCTGTCACTCCTCTCTTACTTCAAATTAGGTTGATACTCTCAAACTCAATTCCAGACCATCCAATTAATGCCAAAGGAGTAGAACAGCTCAAGATTCTTCTCTCATCTACTATTTTCTTTTCAGTTTTCAGTTAAGGTCAAGGGAAACAGCAATAAAGAATTTATAGGGCAATTACTACGACTGCACACTATACAAGGCTGTAGCAAAAAAACAAACAAAAATATCAAACCAAACAAACAAAAAAACCAGACACTTAACAGTACTGGGCTTTTGTTTAATCTTAAAACCCTCCTTCTGGCAAAGGTCTATGGGCTAATTAAGAAAAGGACAAAGAGAAGAGCCGGCACAGGCTCTGGCTCTGCAGCCCTGGGAGAACACTAGGGACTGACCAACACAAGAGTCGAAGCAGTCTGGGCCAAACTACATCTGCTGCTCAAATGAACCTGATCATTAGAGCTACTGACAGTCAGTCTCTTCTCAGGCTACTCATCAAAGATGAACTTCCTGCTGTGTAGACTAGTCCTTGAAGATCACCAGGTGAGTATCTGCTTATTCCACATGCAGATGCCATGGAAACATGCTGAAAACTGAATACAGGGACAGAGCTGCAGAATGATGGGACAGTTCCTTCAACTAGTGTCATGAACATCTGTGATATTTTATAACCGGCAACTCCTACTTATGCCACCATATTTAACGTGACTCTGTACTTCCTTTCAAATCTTCCGCTCAGCTCTACTGTACATAGACTATAATGACAGAACTCATCACTGTCATGTATCATATTGACAGTGTCATACCTACCCCCACTGACAACTGAGGACCACGTTCCCCCTGCAGGACTGGTCCTTGCCACTGGAGGAGCAGCTGCTTCACTTGGGGGATTGTGGGATACAAATTCTAGGCCGCTAGACATGGAGCCTCTCCCAGCAGAGACTCTGTGATTCCGAGGGTGCCGCTGTGCCTTTGGAGACATCCTTGGAGGGCCTGAGGAAGACACGATGGACATCGTGTAAGTCCTGCAGTGTTCACCTTACTGTTTTTTTGCTAAATACAGACATATACTCTTACTTCCCTAACAGATTTTCATTGTTTAAAAAATGAAAATATGAAATAAAATAAACCACAATGTTCTGATTTTTGGCCACACTAAAAATTATTTTGTGGGATGTCAGTTATCTAAGTACATTTTATTTTCCCCTTTTAAGGTTTATTTTTACTTTTAACTATGTTGTGTATGTGTCTATGTGAGGGTATGTGTACATTGAGTTCAGGTGTTGAGCCACCTGATAAGGGTGCTAGGAACTGAACTTAGGGCCTCTGGAAAAGCAGAAGCTCTCTAACAGCTGACCCATCTTTCCAGCCTTTATTTTTAAAGTAACGGGAGATAAATCAAACAATACAGCATACCTGTATAACTACACTTTGTATATAAAAATAAGTTTTACTAAAGTTTTAATAGGAATTACAGCTGCATGGTAAGGTATTCTTACTTTACCTTTCTACATGATTTTACTACATCCAAAATGAGACAAAAAATTGGTTTTATAGTGTTAGGGACCCCATCCTTGTTAGGACAGCATTCTATCTCTGAGTTCTTTAGGGCCCTGGGGTGGCGGTAGTTTTAAAAACAGAAACCTCAGTTCTATCCCTCTTTTGTCATGATCATCAAGTTTATAAATCGTGGCTGGTATGTGAGACCTGAAGAAGGACATCTAGCAGAAATCTGCACTGTGTGAATTGTTGAGAAACCATCATTGATTCTGCCAGTCATCAGGGATGGTGTGTCTACGGCCATCAGCAGTGTAGTACTAAGCCACTGAGTACACAATCCCAGAACTACCTTTCTCATAGCCTTAAGTGCAGTTAACACATGCTCTCTCTTTGTGTTCTTAGTGGGAACATAGTCAGACATGATCTCTGAGAAAATGCTAACTAATGCCAGGACTTTATTTTTTAAACTTTATTACTATTTTATATGTATGGTATGGAAAGGGGCTTGTATGCCATGGCGTGTGTAAAAAGTCAACTTTGTGGAGTGAGTTCTCTCTTTCCAGCTTTACATGAGTTCCAGAGACCAAATTTAGGTCATCAGGTTTGCATGGCAAGGACTTTTAGCCAGAGCCTCCTCACCAGTCTACTGTTAGGGCTTTCAACTGGAGGTACCAGCACCCCAGAACAATGTAGAACATTCTCTGTGGGCAATCCAGGAGCAGCCCTCCATCTGACTACAATGTGCTGCTCAAGGACTTGGACTCATATTCTCATGAAATAAATTGAACACCTTTACCCCAATGGTCTGCAGTAGAGCTCTATGCTGCTGCTAGGAACCACTACGAGAAGCACACATTAAAAGTCATTGAAATTTGTCTTTGCAACATTACAATCTTCAGTCATAAAGATCCATTCTGCCTAGGTGAATACAGTTTACCCTAAGCAGCTTCTTCAGGAAACTTTATCAGTCTTAATCAGCTATATTTATCATGACATTATCAAGACAATCTGATTAAAACATTAACAGAAATATTTTGAACAAAGGACATTGTCATTTAGAAACAAAGGATTTTTTTAACTTACAAACTGCATTAAAACAGAATGCTACCTTTTGGGGGCAGGATATGTGGGTGGCTGGGACAGGGTCTCACCATATATATAGTCCTGACTGGCTCAGAACTAATTAAAAGCCATACTGGCAATCCTCTTGCCTAAGTCCCAGGCACTGGGATTATAGGCATGTGCCACCATTCAAAGTATATGAATTCAGCATCAAATACAAATAATTTTGACAAGAGCAAAGAAGACAAAAAAAAAGTCTCAAATTTATACCTGTCTTTTAATTGATAAATTTTAAAGGCCTCCCTCTAGATTAAAGTAGCCTTTCACTATAGTGATAGTATAAAGACTAATTTAAAAATAAATATTAAATTAAATTTACAGTTCCTCAGGTACCCTAAAAACTACTGTTACCTGAGGGTAGACATGCAAAGTCACTATAAGGGATATCATGGATCACAAAGGACCCCAAAATAGCACTCCTGCCTTTGGCCAACAGGAAGGTTCACTGGCACCATGGCCAAGGAGCTGGAATGTGGCAGGGTTCTATCCAATACCCATGCCCGGAAGCAGCAAGTAAATCACAGCCTCTTTTCATCATTGTTACTGTCTGGGGCTGTGATCTTCTTGGGCTGCAAAGGAGCATCATTTACAGACAAGTCAGATCTCGTTTTTACAGAGCTTTACACACAGCACGTATCAAGGTTTACTCTACTGAACAAAAGGTTAATAGAAATAGTTTTAATAAACTAAAGTTAAAACACAGAAATTATAGGTTAATAAATAATGAAGAGGAAACTATTTTGTAATCATAAACTCACAAAGGAGTTAAACAAAGACAAACAAAAAACATGAACAAATCGTGGTATTGTACCTTCTGAAGACATGCGTTTAGGCACAGTAGAGACAGGAGCTGGAGAACCATGAGCAGAGGGGTGAGACGGGGGTCTGGATGGCCTCGAGGGGGGCCTGGAGGGCGGCCTTGTAGGGGTGGCTGCCCGAGGTGGAAGAGAGTTGGGACCTGACTGGTAGCGAGAAGGTGGGCGAGAGGAAGGAGATGGGCAAGGCGATGGCCAGGGAACACCTGACAGAACAAATGATATGAAGGAAAGTATAAAAACTAAAGAAAAAAATGAGGGAAAAAGTAAACAGAAAAAAAAAGTAAAATGACAAAAATGATTTCTTGTACATTTTAACCCTTTGAGGACAGTCATTTGATTTGTGATAAGTTTTAGCATAACTTAACTCACACAAATTCACATTTTACTTTAACCTCCTTAAAATTAAGTCTGTTTAAATGAATCCACGTTCCCAAAGGGTTAATTAGGATCTACACATACTACTGAAGAAGACAGTTAAGACTCTGCCTAGTAGCCCCACTTCTTCAGCCACTGTCAGCCATCACTTGTGAAGAGAATGTCACACACACAGATAATTTCCCTCAATAAACACAATAACTCCTGCTCAGGAAGGCCATCTACTTTACTGGTTTTAGCTCTGAACAATAAAAAGAAATAGCAGATACTGAATCTAATGTAAAAAGCCGTTTTCTTATGTTCATCTGAGATTTTCATAAGTTCTACATTTGAACAGTTTCAGTTTTCAAAGCTTATTAATCAAGTCCCATTTAAGTAGAAATAAAACCTTCTACTGTTTTCTAGAATGCTGGAGTAACAGCACTGGGTACTCTTGTAAAACAAATCTTATTTCAACACACTAGAAAGGGCCCATGTATTTACAGCCTGCTATACCAATGCAAAGAACTGCAAACTGCAGGGCACAGGCCAGGCACTGTGTGGTCCTTTCCCTGGTGCTTAGCTCCAGGGGGCTCCACACACTTGTATATCACACTTTTTTCAGCCCCCTTCAAATTTTTAACTTGAAAAAAATCTATTCATAAACAACTGAAAATCTTTACTTGGTAAGCAAAGAAATTTCCACCATTACTAGGTAGAGAAAATACTCAAGAGGGTTTACTTGGATAGGAATTTTGGAGATAAAATTAGAAAGTTACCGTGCCTTGTTTTCACACATCTGAAATTCCTCTCCTCCCTTCCTTTCTTTACAATGAGGTCACACATGACCCAGACTGGCCTCAAACTCCCTCTGTAGCCTAGACTGGCTTGACTGCATCCCTCTGCCTCAGGTGTGAGCCTCCTTATCCAGCCTGCACCGTTCTAACCTTCAACACCTGAAACCGGCTGTACATTCTTTTCCCTGAGTAACAACACACTACTGCTGTCAATTACCATATTTTCATATAATTCATCTCTGCTACTCAGTCTACCAGATGTCTATTAACACCTATAATCTGTGCTCACCTGACAGAAGACACTACAGAAAGTGCCTTCCTACTAAAGGTCCAAACTGCTGCACTCTAACACCTTCCCTCAGAAACCAAAGGTTCTGTGTTGTATTTTCCCCAATTCTCGCATAATTTTATTCATGTGACTCTTGCTCATGTCTGATATTATAAACTACCCTAAGTTCTCCCTTGAAGTAAACAGAATGGTAATCCATCAGAGTTAATAAAAATGAATCTGCATTTACTGGGATGTCTTCCACATGAACTATGCCTACAGTTTTATTAACCAGTTTTTAAAATAGAGAACCTCCTCAAGAGCTTCCAATTTGTACGTGGAGTGTTTTTATACCAAATGAGAATGAGAGAGATGCAACAGCTCAGGACCGTGTTGTCCCTCTAAATGTGCCAAAGACATATATGATGTTATACTATCTGATAGCCACAAAACAAAACTAAGTTATACATTAATACTACTCCACAAAATCCAAATACGGCATGCACACTCCTATCCACTATGTAAACTCTTAAAATATTTAGATATCTCTATATTTGATCAATAATATTAACAAATCTGGTCAAAATACTTGCCTCCATTAACTACTCTTTGGTCTGAACCAGAGTTCGGGTTGAAATCTGAAGCATGAGAAGCAGCTCTTGATGGCATGGAGCCTGGTCCAGGTTGGCCCATCCGTGGCGAGCTCTGTCTCCCACTCCCCCAGGATATGACTTCTCTGTTTCTTTGTCCAGGAGGAATATATTTATTTTCCCTGGAAATAAGAGACCCTGTAAGTCATTTATGCTAAAAAGTATGGGGTTAACAAAATACACTTAAGTTACAAAGCTACAGAGAAACCCTGTCTTTAAAAACCAAAAAAGAAACAAAACAAAACAAAAAATACATTTACAGGTACATTAGGGAGAGGAGCAGCCACCACACTGCCTCGTGGCTCTGGGTTGCCTCCTGCCAGCAGCTTAAGCTGTGCTAACTTTCACCTCCCTGACACTCCATGATGATTAGAAAAGTCACAAACCTCAGCTGTAAAACCTTGAAGACAGGATGCAGCTCATGTTTTACCCACAATGTGGCAGATGTTCAACAACATGTTTATGAATAAATGAGAGACACACAAGCCGCGCAAGTGCACAAAACCACTGAGTCATCATTTCTCCAAGTTTACTTCACACTGTTTCTAGCTCACGTGCTCTCAGAACAACCATCAGAAAGGCTGAATTTCCAAGTAAGGCTCAAGCCTCCTTGATTTCCAGCCTTCTCACAGTCAGTCAGTCTAGCAGTTAACCACTTTCTCTCAGCTGCATACTGTCACACAGAAAGAGCTCTCTGACTCAGAGCGTGTTTTTTCCTCACTGTTACCTACAAGTCACTCTTCAAATATGGCATACAAGCCGGGTGATGGTGGCACACGCCTTTAATCCCAGCACTCGGGAGACAGAGGCAGGCAGATTTCTGTGAGTTCGAGACCAGCCTGGTCTACAAGAGCTAGTTCCAGGATAGGCTCCAAAACCACAGAGAAACCCTGTCTCGAAAAAACAAAAACAAAAAACAAATATGGCATACAAGTACTTCTGCCACCTGTACCATGCCATCCAAAATACTGTCCCTGGGTTCTTAGCTTCCACCTGAAGAGGCCAGACTCTCTTACAGGCTCATGTTTCTGCAGAGGTGAAAAATAAATTACCACACTGCAAGTGGCAAACAGGCCCCATTATCTTATCAAAAATGTCACCTCCTGGTGAGGCTCTTGAACTACACAGGAATTCTAGTGCATTCCCACTCCAGATGTCCCTAGTACTCTGAAAAGACTTTTACCCTGCAAACCAGAGTGTAGGGCCACCAAGTCACTGGGTCCCTTTGACTCTTGTTTTAAGGAGCTCCTCAAGTGTCTGGGCTGGGTCCTCTTATATTCAACACTTGACTCCAGAGAGCTGCATCCCCAAAAATAATATCAAGATGATCATGACCTTTTCTCTAAAAGAATCTTACGACAAACCCATCAGCATTTTCTACCTAAGCTTCATGAAAGAGGAAACATTTGGACTACATCTTCTCACACAGCCGGTGAATGTGTCTGCATTGGAGTTTTCTTTAAATACCTAGTGTTTGTGCCATGCCCCTCGCGCTCACTGCAGTTTCTCTGGACCGCTGTGTATTTTTCTTCCTCGCTTCTGTCATCATTCTCAAGGGCCACACGAGCTTTGTACTGAGCACTGGATTCGATTTCCTCTGCTAACTGGTTTGCCCTTGCCTCCCGTTTTAGAAACTCTTCTGAGTTATCCCTTTCTAAGGGAACCCTAAACACAAAGGAAAGAAGACATGAGTGTTTGTTTCAATGCCATACTTCTGTTATAGATCACATACAACTATTAAGAAAGTTTAGAGAATGGGGTCACCAGAGACATTGTCAAAGTAAGGGGGCTTGTTATCATAAATCAAAATATGCATTTTTTTATTACATAGAACATTTACTATTTCAAGAAATAGTTCGTGCAAACCCTATCCCTGTAAATTTAGCTTTCTTTTAATATTTATTTATTATGTATACAATATTCTATTTGCGTGTATGTCTGCAGGCCAGAAGAGGGCACCAGACCTCATTACAGATGATTGTGAGCCACCATGTGGTTGCTGGGAATTGAACTCAGGACCTTTGGAAGAGCAGGCAATGCTCTTAACCTCTGAGCCATCTCTCCAGCCCCTAAATTTAACTTTTTTACAAATTAAAAAGACAAAATGTATTTTTGAAAACAAAAAAACTTATCCCTTGTTTTAATGTGAGTTTGTCAGTCTAAATAGTTAACAAAAACAAATGTCACATTTTTTACTTATTCATTCATTTGGTTTTTTGGGGGCAGGGTTTCTCTGTGTAGCCCTGGCCAAGCTGGAACTCACTCTGTAGACCAGGATGGCCTCGAATTCAGAGATCCGCTTGCCTTTCTCCTGAGTGCTGGGACTAAAGGTGTGTGCCACCAGCAACAGCTTTTTTTGTTTTGTGTAATGTAAAAATAAAACAGAAACATTTATTCAATAATATAATTTAAGCCAATGAAGACAAATTAGCTAGAATAAAAGAGAACTTTGTGAACTTACGTATATGAAGATAAACTGCTATCGTATGTGGACACTACACCGTAATTCTCTTCATTATATCGAAACATATCATTGGGATCCCATCCATTAGACTAGAAGGAAAATGAAGATCATTTTTCAAAGTGTAACTTTTTAATTCAGCTACAACCAATTTTTGCAAAAACATATAACAAACTGTACTGGCTGGACCTAACCCCACCCCTTTCTTCCAAAACACCAAACTTGCCTTTAGAAATCTTTTAAAGAAAGCTAGACATAGCTCATACCTGCCACATCAGCTCTTAGAAGACTGTGACAGGAGAGTGCTTTGAGTTCAAGGACAGCCTGGGCTACAGTAAAAAAGGCCCTATTTCAAAAAACAAAAGCAAACAACTCTTTAGAAAAAAACTCTTCTTACACAGATTGTCCTCGTAGATTAGTAGGTGATTACATAAGTTATCCGAGAGGATATGAGAAAAACTTAGACCATCAGCCATGGCTATGAATCCAGGGCCTCTGGGTCAAAGTTTTCCCCTTCAGTTGTGCTAACAGCCTTCCCCACTTCCATCGCTAAACTGGGTCTTAGAAGAACAAGAGGTGCACTGTGATAGCCAAAACATGTGGGAAAGAAAAAGCAGCCAAAATCTTTCCTACTGGATTTCCACACGAGAACAATACTGTGCCCTTCCACTGTCCCTTCCCCTAGACAAGTAAGGAAGGACAGCATAAAGCAATGGGAAGGCAAATGGGGTAATGCCACACAAGCTATGTTTTAGAACTCTCTGCCATAAACAGTTGCAGGAGGGATCTCAGCAATAGCTATGGGTTCCACACACCTAACTTCCAACCTCAACCTAACACTGTTACCCTCCATCAGTGAAGGAGGAAACTGCCACTCTCAAAACATGGGCTGTATTCTTCAACCTGGAAGAACTGGGCAAATACAGAAGAATCTCCAGAGACAGGTATCAATAGATGACTTGCCACACACTTTTCCCATGTCCAATTGTCCTTTGAAATCCTGATAGGCTAAAGCTGGAGAGGTGGCTCTGTGGTCAAGAACACACATTACTTTTCCAGAGGATGTGGTGAAGGAAGACAGCTAACTCCCACAAGCTGTCTTTAGGACTCCATATGCACGCCACGGTACACATGTGTATTCTCTCTCTCTCTCTCTCTCTCTCTCTCTCTCTCTCTCTCTCTCTCTCAAATTAGAAGACTATGACTTCTATAATCTCAATGATACACCATACTAAACAGAAAAATATCCACCAAAACTAAACATCTTCAAATTTCAAGGCATGTAAGTAACAACTATTAGGAATTTCTCAGGCTTAAGACAAAGGTTTTAAGATTAAGAGCTCTTACTGCTAAGCCAGGTGTGGTGGTACAAGCCTTTAATCCTAGCACTCAGGAGGTAGAGGTAAATGGATCTGATTTCAAGAACAGCCAAGTTTACAGAGCAAGTCAGTGCTACAGAGAGAAACTTAGTCTAAAACAAACAAACAAACAAAAAAAAAAAAACCCTAACAACTAAGAAACTTTGTCTAAAGAAAAGTAATATGCATTGCTGGTGGGAATGCAAGGTGGTACAACCCCTTTGGATATCAGTGTGGGAATTTCTCAGAAAATTAGAAAACAACCTTCCTTAAGACCCTTAAGATACTTTTGGGTATATATCCAAAGGATGCTCAATCGTGCCACAAGGACATGTGCTCAACCATGTTCACAGCAGCTTTGTTTGTCATACCCAGATCTTGGAAACAACCTAAATGCCCCTTGATCAAAGAATGGATAAGGAAAATGTGGTACATTTACACAATGGAGTACTACACAGCAGAAAAAAATAACAACAGTTTGATTTTTGCAGGAAAATGGATGGAGCTAGAAAACATCATTTTGAGTGAGGTAACCCAGACACAGAAAGACAATTATCACATGTACTCACTCATAGGTGGTTTTTAAACATAAAGCAAAGAAAGCCAGCCTACAAACCACAATCCCAGAAAACTTAGACAACAATGCGGACACTAAGAGAGACTTACATGGGAAGTAGAAAGTAGAAAAAGACAAGATCTCCTGAGTAAATTGGGAACATGGGGACCTTGGGGGAGGGCTGTAGGGGGGAGGGGAGAGACAGGGAGGGGAGCAGGGAAAAATGTAGAGCTCTATAAATATCTATAAAAAATGTATTAAAAAAAGAAAATCATCTTGTCAAGACTGGCAGAAGCCTAGCCCAGCTTCATGTCTCTACTGATAACTATGACATTTAATCAGAATAAATTCTTTGGTTAATCCTCAGAGCAAAAAAAATAAAAATAAAAAAATAAAAATAGGGTAATAATAATAAAATAAAACATTTAACAACAAAAGAGATCTAGTACTCATGCAGAGGAATGAGGCTGGATTTGCAGCACCTGCATGGCAGCTCTCAACGCCCTACAATTCCAGCTCCAGGGAATCTGATGACCTCTTCTAGTCTTTATGTGTACATAAACTCATTTATACACACACACACACACACACACACACACACACACACAAAACATGTATTGTTTTAATTTAAATACAGTATTGCTACTCTGAAACTTGGTTTTTCTGTTAGTAAGTATATTACGTATCTTTCCCATTTGAATACTAATTTTTGGTAGTAATGCATTTCTATTAAGAAATTCATGATTTCATAATGGGTACCTACTAACAGAAATAACAAAAATAGCCTGAAACATAATTATTTGCATGTATTATAGATATATTAGGACCAAGGTAAATGTTTTGTTTTTATATTTTCTTTTTCTTAAAAAGACAGGGTCTCACAGTGTAACCCAAGCAGGCCTTGAACTTACAGAACCCAACTGCCTCTGCCTCCTAGGTGTTGAGACTAAGGGTATGCACCACCACAATCATCTAAGTCAATTCTTAGTAGTAGTAGTGATAGAATAAACCACAGTTTATTTTAATATTTTTTAATTTTAAATTTTAATTTTTAATAAACAGTGTTACTCTCTCCACAAAACCTCAAGGAACTTATTATCCCCTTAACAGAGTAAAAAGTGTACCAGCTTCCCATCACAAAGGGCAGTGATACGCATTTGAGAACCATTATAGTAAGTTTAGGTGAATCTTGAAAGTTTGAAGATTAACCATGCTAGCCTTCCGGGGCAGTTCTGTTCTATTAGCCAGCTGAGCTCTTAGAGAAGATACTATTTATTACATTAATATGCCTTAGATAGTAAATTCAGGTTCTCTGTTCACAATACAAGGTTCTTTGCTTACTTAACCTTATTAATGGCTCAGCTTAACATTAAATCTCTATTCTCTAATGTAGAGATGGCTCAGTGTTTATAAGTACTGACTGCTCTTCCAGAGGACCCAGGTTCAATTCCCAGCATCCACATGGAAACTCACGATTATCTGTTAACTCCAATTCTAGGGGATCTGATACCCTCTTCTGGCCTCTAAGGCATATGTGCACAGATATACATGCAATACACCCATACACCTAAAATAAAATAAAATTGAAAAAGTTCTATGTTCTATCATAACGCCTAGATGACATGTCAGAAGAAAACCAAAAACAATTCAAGATGAACACACATTTCAGAAACAAGTTTCTGTAGAGAACAATACTAATTTAAGTTCAAGGAATTTAGGCAATGCTTTAATTTTAATGTAACATAATTGTTTATCTTTTGTGGTTGCTATTTTTCCACCCCAAGGCAGGACCTCACTGGCTAGCTCTGGCTAGCCTCAAACTAGCCGTGTAGACAGACAAACTTGTCTGTCTCTACCTCCTCAGATTAAAGAAGGTAACAGCACAAGTAGCTGCTTTATTTTTTGTTTGTTTGTTTTTGTGAGTTCAGGCTACCCTCAAACTTTCTCTGTAGTGGAGGCTGATCCTAACCCTCCTAATCCTTCTACCTCTACCTCCTGAGTGCTGACACCAGAGATGCCACAACCAACCTAAAATTTTATCTTAATAATTTTCCTTTTCTCAGACAAAAAGGCCAACTTGACTTCATCTCTAGAAAAGCCAACACACAGTTAAACACTACCTGCCTTAGGCTGCCTATATTACAGGAATTCAAAAGAATACAGGCTGTCATCTCTTAACTTCTTCTAGTTTCCAGTAGTAAATTGCTTATCACTATTTTATCACAAACAAGTAATTTTATGAGTGCTGAGCTCTCAATTTAAGAAGAAATGTTTTTCAAAGCCGGGCAGTGGTGACACGTGCCTTTAATCCCAGCACTCAGGAGGCAGAGGCAGGTGGATCTCTGTGAGTGTGAGGTCAGCCTGGTCCACAGAGTGAGTTCCAGGACAGGCTCCAAAGCTACAGCAAAACACTGTCTTGAAAAACAAAAGACAAAACAAACAAAAAAACAAGAAGACAAAAGAAATGCTTTTTTATTCTTATTTTTTGCTCTTCATGCGCTCTCTAGGACACAGACCTGTTGATAGTTGGGGTCTACCAAGCACGCTGGGCCATCACAGATGGAACTCACCACATCATTCTCCAGGGCTTCCAGCTCCTCACTGGCTGTGAGCTCCCCTGCATCCCAGGGCTCCAGGTCCCTCTCCTTGTGCTCGCCATTCACTTTGGCACTGACAGCAGAGTCGGTAAAAGCATCTGTAAAGATGACAACAGACAGGCAATACTAAGATAAAAACCAGTAATCATGAGAAAATGACTTTGGGCTATTTAAATAACTAACAATAATCCAGTCAACAACAGCACAGGTGACTAGTGAAAGCTTTTCCTGTAATCACTCCACGTTGTGAAGCACAGAGTGCATTCAAGGTAGCAGTGGGCTCAAGTTCTCTTTCATGAAATAGATCCACAATTAAGACACATCTTTGACAGCAAATTGGGAGTGTAGGGGGCAGGGTGGAGGGTGGAATGGAAGAAGGGAGGAAGGAAAGGGAGCAGGGGAAAAATATATAGCTTACCAGGAGGTGGCGGACAGGCCTTTAATCCCAGTACTGGCCTTTAATCCCAGCACTGGGGAGGCAGAGGCAGGCAGATCACTGTGAATTCGAGACTAGCCTGGTCTACAAGAGCTAGTTCCAGGACAGGCTCCAAAACTACAGAGAAACTTTGTCTCAATGCCCCCCCCCCCGCAAAAAAAACATATTCTCAATAAAGACAATTTATAAAAAGACACGCTTTTGAAGTATTTAAAGCCAAATACTATTAGTTCCTTTTTGTTTCTGTGTTTTTTTTTGTTTTGTTTTAGACAGTGTCTTACTGTATAGTCCTAGATGGCCCAGGCTGTCCTTGAACTTGTAGCACTTTTCCATCTGAATCAATACAGTGCAGGGATGACAAGCAAGTGCCGTCATGTGTGATTAGGCAGAATGGTTTTAACTTTGTAAGTTTAGGTCTCTATGCAGGGTCCATAGCAAACTTATCTTCTGATAATACATGAGGTAAGTGACCCTTCCTTTTCCAATACAGTCCCCTCAAACCACCTTAAGAAGCGCAGATTCTGCAGTACTGCCTGTCTCCAGCAGGCTCACCACTCCTTCTTGTATCCCTGAGCCTGGCTTATAAGTTTGTGACACCACTGCTAAGGAAAAGAAATGCCCTTTCTACAGGTAGAAGTTAAAAGAGCTAAACAGCATTAGGACTGTTCTGCAGATAAAGGTGAACACTTAAATGTTCACACTCACATCTAACACAGGAATGTTTCTAACCTGCTCCCCCAGAGACCACAAGCTCCCAAACTCTTTTTGCCCTGACCCTCATGACAAGTTGCTACAAAGAGCAGGACAAGAAAACAGCATTAAGGTTAGAGTAGCTCCACAAAGGAAGACTATTCCAGGGGTTTGATCTGGCACTGCTCTGGCGTAGTATCCCCAAGGGTCAAGGAAGTGCCAAAGTAAGACACGTGAGCAAGAAATTTTAGGGAGAGCGCTGCAAGGCTAACTAGCCCTAACCTACTCTCTTCCCAAATGAGGGGTATAAACATGATGTGCACCACACACACTAGGCAAAAAGCTGCCTACCTCACCAGTAGATATCTCCGGTGCTATTATAAGGGGCAAGAATGCATACAGGAGCCTTCAGAACAGCAGAAGACTGGGGCTGTACTCTGGATAAACCTTTTAGCAGAGAACAAGACATGGATCATCTTCAACACCCCATCTTCATCTAGAAGCCATAGATAGCCTTAAATAGCTAGTTTCATTACTTCCTGATAGCTCTATCAGCTGTTGACAAACGTTACTTCACGAAGCTGGAAAGATAGCTCTGCATTGCAGAGAACCTGGCCTCAGTTACCAACACCCACAACCACTTGTAACTGCAGCTCCAGAAGATCTGAGACCCTCTTCTGGACTCTGAGGGCACTTGCCCTCAGGTGAATACAGTCACATACCCCAACCAAAATAATCTACTTGGCCGGGCGTAGTAATACAAGTCTTTAGTTCCAGCACTTGGAAGGCAGGGTTAGGTGAATCTCTCTAAGTCTGAGGTCAGCCTGGTCTACAGAGCGAGTTCCAGGACAGCCTAGAGAAAGTATGTCTTAAAAAACCAAAACAAAAACTATAAAATAAAGAGAAAAACAACCAAAAATTAATTTACTCAAGTATACTTTCAGGAAGAAGAGAGATTCCGACAACATAGCAAACAGGATTCTGAGATTCCTTTAACTAAAAGGCACTGAAAACGCAAAAGCAGACTACAGGTAATTAGAACATGTCATATTCATCTCTATGCAAAGCTGCAACATTGTTCATAAACAAAGTCCTTTTAACACTAATTTTTCAAAAACACATGTTTAAATGTGCTTAGATACAAACTCACAGCTGGGAGCTGTGCCCCAACATTAGGAGACTGAGGTAAGAGGTTCACTGCTGTACAGTACATACATTAAGAACCTGCATGGAGGAGGAAAAAAAAAAATGCCACAGGAAAGAGACAGAGAGAGAAAGAGACACAGAAAAGAAAAAAGGAGAAGAATACGTGATAAAAGTTAAAGTTTAGAAGACTGTCCCAGAGCCAGTCTTTGGGGGGGGGGGCGCAGAACCATGCTAAATATACAGCCTAGTATGGTGGCCTATACCTCTGAGATTACCCACCCTCAGCCTCATGAATATAGACAGATGTGTGCCACAGGTGGCTTAAACTGACCTTTCCTTGTTATGGGGGAGGTATGTGAAAACTTCAAACTTTAGAAGATTTAGGAATGAGGCCGGGCGGTGGTGGCACACACCTTTAATCCCAGCACTCGGGAGGCAGACGGATCTCTGTGAGTCTGAGGCCAGCCTGGTCTAAAAGAGCTAGTTCCAGGGCAGGCTCCAAAAGCTACAGAGAAACCCTGTCTCACAAAAAAAAAAAAAAAAAAAAAAATTAGGAATGAACCAAAAGCTCCACTCCAAATACCACGGGGGGGGGGGGAGGGGGGAGAAGGTCAGTCACAAAACTAACCCAAAGACTTTTAACTACTGTATGTGTGTCCCAATCCTGAGCAGCATCAGACAGAAGCCTACTCAGAAACAGCACAGGAATGACCAGGCCTGTGGAGGTTCCCAGAATCAGACTCCCACTGCTATTCATGGACGCAAGTTGTACTAAGAGGGCATTTTTGCCTGGCCTGCTTCATGTTCACTACCGCATACTACAAAAAGAATGAGTGAGTATTCACACACTGTAACTTAGCAGTATGCTTTTATTTCAAGGCAAAAATGAGAGCAAGAAAGACACAAAAGACCACAAGGAATGGCACTCCGTCATAAAGCAAGCAGTTTTCTAAAGCCAGTTTGAAGAAAGGCTTCAGCCCTAAGTACCAGACTTCAGGACAACATACTCTCATGATCTAAAGGGAAGCAAGAGCTGAGTGCTCTGTTCCACACTCTGAGCAACAGTCAGCATGGCAGAGTGAACGGTCCCACCTGTACAATCAATGTACAGTGTTTCTTTCATAGCAGTTTGAACTTTAAAATCATCACTACTGGTGCCCAGGAATCCCAGTCACATTCTAGTCACAGGCAGAACAAGTCCCTGCCACAATTGAAGGTCTATCAATTTTCTATTGTGGTTTACAGCAAGACCTAAGTGTTATAAAAGCAAAATGCAGTATCATAGTCAGTGACAGACACATGGTAGCTAGTTCTGAGGAAGTTAAGGCCACAGAAAGTAAATGGAAAGTTATTAGACAAGGAAAAGAGTTATTTCTGTGTCCCACCCACTGCCTTATAAACACACAACTTATAAAGGCCTCCATACTAGAGGGAGGGAAGGTCTACACTTAACCCCCACTTTCATGTATTGCCCACAAACCAGCATCTGTGGGTTGGAACACTGATGCCACCTGGTGGTGGTTGGAAGGAAACCCTTTTCTTCTGCCCCATTTATATTCTGCTCCTCAAACTCAAGAAAACTTTTTATCTTGGAGAAAATGTTCAACTTCACCAGACTTTTTGGCTCATGCAAGTAACTGAGTCAGCATGAAATACATTGTGAGTTTCGAGCTGCCTCAAAAAAAGAGGAGGAAATAAAACAAAACAACAGTCAAACTTGTTCAAGAATTGTTTTTTACTGTTTTCTTATTATAAAATTGAGACTTGGCACTAAATGGCTAAAGCAGAGATAGTCCTCTGAACTCATACTTGTCATGGACATAATAAATGTTTTAAAATTGTGAAACCTAAATGTTTTTACAGACCTGTTCAAACACTTACTGATGCTATTGGGGGTCATACTTATCTCTTGTATTTTAACATGTATTCATGCACTGTATGTGAAAGCTACAATGCATATGTGGCAGTCAGAGAACAGATTGTGTAGACTCTCTCTTATCACAGCATGATTCCTGGGAACTGAGCTCTGGTCCTGCTTGGTGGCAGGCGTCTTTATCCCCTGAGCCAGACCTAAAGAATTTTTTCTGAAGGCATAGCCAGAATAGTAGTCAAGTAAAATTTTAGTATTATATTACAAGTAAATAAAAATTTAAATTTATAGAAACTACAAAATAGGGTAAGGTGCAATTAAATGGCAGAATGCTGGCCTTCATTTGCTTCCCAGCACCACAAAAATGAAAACTACAGGGCCAGTGAAAGGGCTCAGTAGGTTGAAGAGTTTTCTGTGCATGGCTGACAGCCTGAGTTCAACCTCCAGAAAACATGTAGCAGTGGGAGGAGAAACTCCAAAAAGTTGGCCCCTGACCTTCAACATGTGTGTACCACCGATTCACCCTCCATGAAATTAAGAAAAATCTAATCCTGCCCCTTTGCTGACCATCCCCTAGAAGTAGAGGAAGCTGTACTGCAAGCCCATCTTTATAGAATTTACTGCATCAAGTTCTATGTAGAATCAAAATAGGTTATTTTGTTCTCACAACAGGAGCTCATTCTGTACAGCCCAGAACAAGTTAGAACTCAGTATGTGACCTAAACTAAGCTATAATATGGTAATCCTCCTGCCTCGGCATGCCTAATGCTGATAGTATGAGCATGTGCCACCATGACAGGTCAATGAGAAACAAGCTCTAAGAAGCAGAGGTCTGCACCTGAAGGAGAAACAGCTAAACACGAAAGAGACTGGGGCAGAAGGCATGCCTGTTATGCACAAGGTCCAGGTTTCAAACCCCTGCATCACAAATACACAAATGACCCTACTTTCTTGTT